CGGGCTCTGTGCTGACCGCTCAGAGCGTGGAGCCTGCTTCCAATTCTGCATCTCCCTCTCTCTCTGCTCCTCCCCTGCTCGCTCCCTCTCTCTCTCAAAAATAAACATTAGAAAAAAAATAAAAAAGTTCTCCCACGGTAGAGCATTCAGACAGAGCTGTGCTGTGCCTGGACGCAAAGATCAATTTTGATTCTAATTCGGCTTCTAGCCGGAAGCAAATCTTTGATGTAGGGGACGGGACGCGGGAAGATGAAGGGGACAAAGGTGCAGCTGAGGCAGACCCCAACTGCACTGGCCTTGACGGAAATATAGGCTGTCTACCGAGGGGCGCTGGTTTGGCTGTGGCCACAGTGGATGTAAGACGACCTCAGGGACGGACTCCGGCCAACCTTCTTGATGTTGGTGGTGGTGCCACAGTCCATCAAGTGACAGAAGCGCCTAAGCCCATCACTTTGATAACGAAGGTACTGGCCCTTCTGGTTAACATTTTTGGAGGAGTCAGGTGGGGTGATGTTACTGCACGGGGTATCGTGGCAGGGAAGGATCTGGAAATGAAAGTACCTCTTACAGGACAGTGACAAGGTACAAGAGGCGACGATGCTAAGGCAGTGGCCTTACAATCCTCACTTGGGAGGACTCGGGCAAAGCTGCTAAATGGGCCGTGAAGCTCTCTGGAAGAGCGACCTTGGCCAAGCAAGCCCAGGCTGGTGTGAAATTTCAGTTGCCAATCTGGTGTGAGAACCCAGAGGAGGGAGGAAGGTGTTAAATGTGCCATCGTCGTTAAAAGTATCGTGTTCTTGGGGGCGCCCAGGTGGCTGGGTCGGCTAAGCGTCCGACTTTGGCTCAGGTCATGGTCTCACGGTTGTGTGTTTGAGCCCCGCATCGGGCTCTGAGCTGACAGCTCGGAGCTGGGAGCCTGCTTCGGATTCTGTGTCTCCCTCTCCCTCTGCCGCTCCCCTGCTCCCGTTCTGTCTCTTTCTCTCAAAAATAAACATAAAAAAAAAAAGTATTTAGTGAAGTAATTTGTTATTTGAACATTGTCTTCATCGTCACAAAACACAGATTTACACGAAAGCATGTAAAGTTTTCACGATCCCGTGGTATCGATGAGAATCTGTAGGCTTGTATCACATAAAGGTATATTCACTGAGGACGTGGCAAAGTTAATAACATCAATTTAAGTTAGTAAAAGTCTCCCAACGTGACTTGAAAAAAAAAAAAAGGACAAAAATGGCCTCTCAAGAAAGATTCTTAAAATGCAGCAGTGAGGGAAAACATGCCCGATATGACAGAGACAAGCCCCCAACCAAGTGTCCAGAACTGGGGACCCTCAGCTTTACCACTGGATCCTCAAGAACGAGGTCACATGTTTAATTTTCCTCGTTCCCACCCCTCCCCATTCATTTCTACAGCGAATTCTTCTTGAAGGCATGCTGCCAATGACCTTCTCCCTGCTCTTCATCCCCGGGCTCACCTTCTCAGCGAACGACCCCATCAGCACGAGGACAGATGTTTGGGGAGTTATCCTAGACGCCCACCTCTCTCCCACATCCAAGCAGAGCTCAGGTCCTGATCCCCTGGCCTCTAGTTTTAGGCCCGCTCCAGTCCATCCTATGTATCTAAGACATAAATCCAATTACGGCCCTCCCCTGCTCAAGAATCTTCAGTGGCTCCCCAGGGCGGCCGTGTTAAAGTCTAAACTCCTTGGCTGGGCACCTACAGGGTGCTGCCCACCTCCAATCTACTTCCCCGGGTTCTATTTTACAACAGCTGGAATACTCGTGATTTCCCAAGCACACCCAGACCTCTGAGCCTTTGCAGATGCTGTTCCCACAGGGTAGAATGCCCAGTTCTTGTTTACATACACCAGGCTGAAAATCAGCTCCAAGGCCACTTCCCTCATGAAGCCTGCCAGGCAGACTGCGGCACCTCTTAACGCAAGGGCACTACCACCTTTTTCTCTGTTCCAGCCCGTGATGCCGTGTTCTGGGCACAGGTGCTCAGCAAGTCTGATTTGGGATGTTCCTTGACTTTTGTGGAAACTCTGGAGTCAAAGCCGTTGGCCGAGTCCTGGGCTAGCCATCTTCCAGCTGTGTCATCTTGGGTGAGCAGTTTAACCACTCGGTGCCTCAGTTTCCTTGGCTGAAACATCACAATTCCCGCCTCGCGGTGCTGTTGTGAGGATTAGATTAAGGGAAGACGATATATGGAGAGTACCCCTGGCTCAGAGGAGGGGCCACACGAATGCCATGGCTCCTCTTTAAAAAATTTTTTCTTAATGTTTATTCATTTTTGAGAGTGAGCAAGCAAGAGCAGGAAAGGGGCAGAGAGAGAGGGAGACACAGAATCCTAAGCAGACTCCAGGCTCTGAGCTGTCAGCACAGAGCCCGACGCAGGGCTCGAACCCACAACCGTGAGATCATGACCTGAGCCAAAATCAGACACTTAACCGACTGAGCCACCCAGGCGTCCCATGCCGGCTCCTATTTTCCTCCACCTTTTCTGCTTACTCCAACCTCCAAAGCACTGGTCTACAGGTCTCGTGAATTAAGGCTCCTAGAACTAAGATTCGGATACCCGATCCTCTCTCCTCCCCCCCCCCCCCCCAGCCCCTACAGCGTCCGGGCGGCACAGGCACCTGCAGCCTGGGTGGCTCTGGGTCTGCCCACCAGCTGGGACGATTGCCGGTGGATGACCTTCCTCTGGGCATCCTGGGCTCTGACGCCATGTTGTCTCCAGTCCTCGGTCTGCCTTCGAGGTCCACGGAGAACTTCTTTCTTTGGAAGGAGCAGCTAGAGGGGTCCAACCCCCCTGACGGCCCCCCCCATTCCTGTTCCCCTTGCTATCCGCCTGAGCAGCCCCTCCGCGCCCATCTGGAGCTGACCAAAGTAGACACAAGCGCCGGACACCTTGGTACGATTTTATTCACATACTCCAGACACCCAGGCTTGGCCTGGCACAGCGGGTGTGTTCTTGCCAGTGGCAAAAAACTGATACAGCACGTTCATGAATACTAACCACTTTAATTTAAATTAATAGCATTTCTGGAAGACAAATGCAGTTGATAGAAAATATAAAAACTTTTCCTGTACAAATTTTACATCACATTCGAGAAAAAAAAAAAAAAAAAGAAAGCAGGTGTGTGCCTGTGGCCACGGAAGACGCCGGCTTTACACACACACTGATGAAATCCTGGCTAACACTGCAGCATTACACGAGCTCCCTAAACGGCTTCACATTTGTGTCTCCACCCCGCCCCCAAATCAACACGGAACAAGGGGAATACAGGCCTACAGGGCGCACACGGCTGCCCCCTGTGATCACAAGGAGAAGTGTTACGAGGGGGCAGGATTCCGGCGCCCCGCGCGGATTTGGTGAGCGGAGAGGTCAACTTTGCTACGCTGCCCACGACTAACGAGGAGCTTGCTAGGAGTCAAGGTCTCGAGTTGGATGGAGACCCAGGGACTGTGGCTCTGGTGGCTCAAGGCAGCGGGGACACCGGCCCTAGGGTTTGGGGGAGGGTGGGGGGGACACTGAGGCTCGGGGCCTGCTGTAAAGGACCAGAGCTTGGGCTCCACTCTCAGCCCCCGCTGGGGACTCCGCGGCCCCCAGAGCTCCCGCCAAGGAGGCCCGCCGTCCTCTTCACAGCTGGCCGTGGGTGCTGGATTCACAGTACCTGAGTCCTTCCTGTGTTTCCACGGCCGACGGGGAGAGGACACAGAAGGGCAAGCACGTCTTCCCGACCTCAATTCACAGTCACTTAAGGAGATGGAAGAAGGGGACCACACTTTTTTTTTTCTTTTTTTTTTTATGACAGGCAGCGCAGAGGCTGGGCCATGAGCTGGGAGGCCGCCCAGGGCCCCGAAGAGGAAGCGGGGGTGTCTTCCGGGCCCTCAGCTTGCCTTCAAGGCTCCTGGCAGTGTCAGTTCTTTAAGGGCAGGGACCATGACTGTGCCCACCGCGGGCACACACGACACTGTGTGGGTTCGAGGCCAGCTTCTTGAACCGACCTGTGGGCATGACGCCCATGGGGGAGGCCAAGGGAGGGGAGGATGAAACAAGCAGTCTCCTGGAGGAGGGAAGGGTCCCCCGGGGCTGAATCCGGCTGGTTCACTGCTCCTGTCTTCCCCACGCCCCCCCGGCTGGGAAGGGTACTGAGCTGGGATCTGGGGCGCTGATGGGCAGGGGAGCCCGGGTACCTTGCCCGGCCGCACAGCCGCGCTCTCTGAGCGAGTGTGGGTCGGGCCAGGGGGCTCCTGACCCAGAGACAGGAAGGTGGCCCTCGGCTTCTAGGCAGTGGCCCGCATCCCGGGACACTGTGGCCAGCCCCCAGGGAAGGCTCTGAAGACTGGGAGCTGTGCTAGGGGAGCGGAAATGAAAGGGATGGGAGGCCCACATGCCTCCCCGTCTTGGCTCAGAGCACGGACACGGGTCCTGGGTCGGAATCCAGCCACGTCTCATCACCCTCGGTCATTTCCGGTGAGGGCCTGATGTGGCGGAACGTCCACTGAAGGCTGCTCTCCCATTTGGAACTTTTCTCTTTAGGGGACAGTTTCTAACGAAGAGGCAGGAAGCTCTCACATCACCGACGCCCCCCCAGTCAAGCCCCTCCTTCTGGCGTAAACATAAACACGCAAGTGGCCCCGACTCGGCTCACAGAAGGCTCTGAAGGCGGGGGGCTGGGTGGGTCTAGGTGAAAGGCGTCGGGGGCACAGGCCTCCCGTCCCGGCCGAGAGCTCAGGTGCAGACAGCGGAAGAGTCGGGGGTGGCAAGGGCCTTGAAGAGGACTGGGGGAGAAGAGGCGGGCCGATCCGGAACCCCGGCGTGACGGCTGACAGGCTGGCCGAAGAGCCAGGTCACCCCGCGGATGGGCAGTACACGGTACACGCAGCTGGGGGGCTTGGCCTTCGCTCTCAGCATCTTCGCTCAGAGGCCAGCCAGGCACTGGGTGAGTCCCAGCACCTTAGTGTCTGGCTTCCCGGAAGCTGTGTGAAGGGCACCTCTCTACCGGCCACTGGGTTGGTCCAGATGTTATCTGGGTTTGAGGTGTCTCTATTTTTCCGGCAGGTACAGGCTGGGTCGCTGGGGCCAAAGGGGAGCCTGAGCTCTCTGGAAACAGGAATCCTGCCTCTCTCATAATCCAGCTTGGTTCCTAGCCGGGGTTTCCTCTGCCAGAGGAACAAGGGATCGTGTCCCCTCAGGGGGTTACGGGGAGAACCCTACAGAGGGCGATCACCCACAGTTGGGGTTTCGGGACAAAGCAGAGTCCGGGCCACACCTCGGCGCCCCCACCCTACCCCGAGAACAGCCACAGTCACGATGCTGTTCTTCCCTCCTTCCTCGCTGCCGATGGGGGAGGGGAAGGTCGCTTCCACCACCCTGGCCGGCAGTACCAGGGCACCGCTGCAGAGCACTTTTTATTATTCCCTACTGTGCAGCGGCGAGTTCACTCCACAGAAACGCACATGTAAACATCCGCTGCCTGTCAGGGCGGGTCTGGGTGTTGGCGATGTCACTTTAAGAAATAGCAGGTGCAGCTCCTCTCCGGCCAGGGCATTTCTGTTGGATGAACGGTCTGAATCGAGGACTCCCGCTCCTGGGTTGCGGCACTTAGGAGGGGGGACTGAGGTCTCGGAGGGCATTTTCGCTTGTGTCACGGTGCTTGGTTGGAGATTTCAGGAACGCATTTAAGAAAGAAAGGAATCGGCAGAAAAACCGCCCACGTTGGCTACATCTTTGGGTTACTGGGCTCCAGGACACCCAGGCCAAACCTTTCAAACCGGGGCACAACTTTGCTGCTGTTAATGCTGCGAAGAGGAACAGAAAGAAGGGTTACGGCCGCGCTGGTCTTGCTCAGAAGCGGGGTGGTGTTAGCTAGGGAGCCGGTCAGTCTTGGAAGCCCTGCGGAGGACCCAGCTCCAGCAGGAAGTGAGTGACTGTGCCAGTGGCCTTGGCTGAGCTGCGCCTGGTCACGGGTGGCCGGGGCGCTAAGACTCAGCCACACGCCCTCCCGAGGGTGCGGGGGGCTCATTAGTCTCAGATTCCCCAGCCCCAGTCACTGCTGTGGGCTCGTTGGATCTACTTGGTCACTTGCAGCCAGCAGAGCAGGGCTCCAAACACAAGCAGGAGAGAAACCTGCCCCCAAGTACTGAGAGGGATGCCACACACTCCTCTGGGACAGGGTCCCAGGCATCAGGGACCACGCGGGGAGCAAGCTGAAGCACAGATTCTCAGAGCCCGCCTTCGGAGAGACCGGGCTCGGTTGTGGGAGGGACCCCACGAATGTACATTCGGTAAGCAGCGCTGGGAGGGTGCGCGGCCGCACGGCCACACCCTCGATGAACGCCAACTTGGGGTCTGGTACTTTCTGTCTGCACCGGTGGACTTACAGGGAGCTAACATCGTGGGGGCCGGGGGCGGAAGCTTTGTTCTTATCAGTGAAATCGTTTGGCGACAGCTCCCTCCCCAGCCCCCTGCTTTGTTTTGGGACAATTTTCCTAAGCGTGTCGCTGAGGACAAAGCCCTTGCAGGCTAGCGTCTTTCACGACAGCGGGACTTCTGGTGTCCACCTCCCTTGGCCCTCGGCAGCTCTGAAATCATCCCAGGCCTTGCTGGACAAGCTCTCTGCAGGTCGGCAGCCACGCCAAACCTCTCCACTCGCTGTGCTGTGGGAGCAGTATCGCCGGTGGGAGGCCAACGTGCTGGTGGGGGGGGGGGGGGGGGGGGACGGGGGTGTTAGGGGACCCTCGCGGGCAGCAGTGATTCAGGCACACAGAGGCCGTGGAGCCGGGTGGGGGTCGGTTTCAAACACAAAGCGACAGAAGAAGTCTCCGGAGAGACGCTCCGGGCAGCAGAGACCGCATCCCCCGGGTTAGTGCCCGCGTCTCAGTTTGAGCTTGAGCAGAAGTCGCGGTGCTGCGTGTCGATTAGGAGGAAGAAAAGCCCCCGGCGCATGCAAGGCAGCCCGGCCTACAACCTACGGGAAGAAAGAGAAGAGGGGAGAACCGAGTCAGAACCCGAGCCCATGGAGGGGCAGAGGGAGCGGCAGAGGCCTGGCCGGGGCATGGGGCAGGGGACCCTCTTTCCCTGCGGAGAGGGAGACAGGCATCCCCCCTCCGCTCGTGGCTTGGCAGCATGGGGAGCTTGGAAGGGACCTGGCAGCAGGCCCCTGTCCCGCGCTCGGCTGGGACACAGTCACAGAATGTTGAGACAGAGGCTGGCCAGTGGGCCCACCGGCCCTCAGCCCGACTATCAGAAGTGACTTCTTAACAGCTCCCTCTTTTGGCTTACTGCAGTCCCTTCTTTAAGCTCTGGCCAAAGAGCACCCTAAACTTGGACCAACCATCTGAGCTCGCTCCCACCCAGGGACATGCCACCATCGGCCACCATGGGGCGGACAGAGGCCCTGCCCCAGGCCGCGGGTCTTCTCGCAGCCCGGCGAGAGACACACAGGCCCACAGGACCCCTGCCCGTGGCCATTTCGGCAACAGGAACATCACTTTGGTTTTATGCAAACAAAACACGCAAAAATGGGGAAGCTGGATGCAGAGACAGAACAGGAAGCAGGGTGCAAACAGGCAGGAGATAAGAGGAGACACACTATTCCTCCAGAAGCGGGAAGGAGTTCTTAAAGTCCAGGTGACCGTAACGTCCTTTCCCGTAGTAGCGGCTCCGCCAGCGACTGGGGGGGGTGCCCCGTGACCATCGTGCCAAGTGTGGGAACGGCGCGGTCCGGTGGGTGACGGAGTCAGGCACCCAGTGCAGACCGGTGGAGGAGGGGCCGCAGGTGTCAGGACGGCAGGGAGGGAGAGAGGACAGAGCGGGCCAGCACACCCGCCACCCCCCCCCAAACAAAAAAAAAGCAACAAGACGAATGGAAAAGAAAAGAGAAAATGAGAATTAGAGACAATGTGTTGATGAACAAATCCTGAACAGGAAGTTCTGACTGAGACTCATCCGGGGATGCCGGCATTCTTTGCTCTCGGGCTAAAACGGATGGCCTTGGGCGGCCCCACGTGGGACTTCCGTTTCCCACCCGTGAAAGGAGAAGGTGGGGCTGTGTGGTCCTTAGGGACTCTGGAATTATCTCCTGAAAGCCAGACCCACCTGGCACAGCCTTCTCTTCTATGGATGAGATCTTAAACCAGCGCCCAAGATATTAAACAAGTCGCCCAAGGTCTGACGAACCAGATCCTTGAACTTCTTGCAAATCTAGGGGACCCCCAGACTCCGGTCTCTGCCAGGAGAACTCCTGCTCAAAACCCAGTTCCAGTGACCCCCCCCTCCTCTTTCTGGGGACCCTTTCTCAAGTCCCCTGGGTGGGCAGAGACGCCCCTGTGCAGGTTATAACCATTCCCTCCTTTATTTACCAATTACACTGCAAACACCTTGCTGGCCTCGGCCTGGCCTTGGCCTTTGGTCTCCCCAGGTGTGTAGCAGGTACTCAGCAAAGAGTGGCGAGAACCCATGTCTCTAACGTCAACATTCCGCTACGGAGCCTGACTCCTCTTAAGAGCAAAACATTGCAACTAACGTGTCACTCTAAGCGAGTATTCCCAACCCTACACTGTCACTCCTCTACACTGTCCCTACAAATGACCCAAAACACCAGTTCACCGTATTTCTTCACGGACTTTGCCTGCATCCTCTGGTATGTCGGGTGACCCTGCTCCCTGCACCTCAGCTTGAGACCCAGTTTGGTTTGTTTTCAGATGGGAGGGGCCAGCAAACTATATAGACCTCAAATCCAGCCACTAAAAGATTTGGACCACTTTAAAGGTTTGTCAAAAAAACAAAAAACAAAACCAAAAAACCCCAAAAACAACAAAACAAAAACACCAAGAACATATGATAGAGACCACATGACCCACATGCCTAGAATATTTAACACCGGCCCTTTCTAGAACTGTGGATGGTCCTGCTGCCACCACACACCTGGGCAGCAGACGTGGGGTCAGGTGCAGCTTCTCCAGGGGCTCAGCGACATGGCTGCAGGTGCCCCACAGGCCGCCTAGACAGGCTCCTGCCCCAGAACTATCAAGGGCAGCTCGACTTTATCTGTTTCACCTACTGGGACTCGCTGGGAAAGCACTCTTTTAAGAAGTGCCCTTTGCCTTTAAAAAGCTTCAAACCATTTGGGGCGCCTGGGTGGCTCAGTTGGTTAAGCGGCCGACTTTGACTTAGGTCATGATCTCACGATTTGTGAGTTCGAGCCCCATGTTGGGCTCTGTGAAGACAGCTCAGAGCCTGGAGCCCACTTTGGATTCTGTGTCTCCCCCCACTCTCTCTCTCTGCCCCTTCCTTGCTCATGCTCTGTGCCTCTCAATAATAAACAAACATTAAGAAAAAAGTTTAAAACCATTCATATCACTCAGGGGGCTTGTCACATGGGGCTTGCCCAACCTGTGTCTGCCTAATCCATAAACTAAGAATAGGTTTTACCTTTCTAAATGGGTTGGGGGTAAAAACACCAAAAGAAGATTTCACAACATGGGAAAGCTGCATGAAGTTCAAGGGTGAGCATGTATAAGTAAAGCTGTATTGAGCACAGGCAGCCCCCTGATGTACGTGCTGGAGCTGTTCTTGCACCTGACGGCAGAGCCGAGTCCTTGTGGCGGGGACTGTGTATGGTGCTGTGACGGCCTCGCACTGCTGCTGGGTGTGCTACAAATCGCGGGGGCCTGCGAAGCCTAACACAGCTCCCTCCGCTAGCAGCCCATCCCCCTTCACCCGTCTGCCAGCCTCCTCTGGGTTTCTGAGTGGCAGAGAGAGCCAGAAAGGCGAAGCACAAAGGGAACGAAGACAGAATGGAGGAGTGAAGACTACCCCACCCCAAGCAGGTACAAAGGGCAGTGTGACAGAGCAGAAGGGAGATGGACTTCTAGTGTCAGAGCAGCACAAACTCAGGCCACGCCTTCCCCGTAACAGGGGGCCGATTTGGGGGCCGCAAACCGCTCTCGAGTCTGCGCCCTTTTACGAAACAACCCCCTTCGCCGATTCTGGTGGTGCTGCTCTAGCTTCCTGTCTGGCCCCTTCCCTGGCGGGTCTTCTCTTCCAGGCCTAGCCTGGACCCAGCGTCAGCACTGTTCAATAACAGCGATGCTGGGCTTTCACAGCAGAGTACTAGAAACGCTCATCTCTGAAACAAACGAGACCCTAGTAGTGCTTGGGCAGGGGGACTAGTCACCTCTGGCCAATCTGCTTTGTATAGTGCCCGAAGTCGTAGGCAGACAGAGCAGACAGGGCCCTTTTAGACACCAGGCGAGGGTGGCCCATGAAGGGGGGACTTACTCAGCAGACTTCCAGAAGTGCCCCGGGTGGGAGAGCCGCCGGTTCAGCTTAGGCAGTTTCTCCAGCATGTCCATCAGCAGGGTGAAGCTGGGCCTCTCCTGCAGGTCGAAAGCCCAGCAGGCGGACAGGATCTCCTGTAAGCAGAGGCGGCATTAGCAGTGTGAGAGCTGGCGGAGAGCGAGGAAGGCACAGCTGGGCTACGCGGCATCGGATCCATTCGATGCTCTCAAGCACCCCCCTCCTTCCACCTGGTGTCCCCTGAACATCTTGCCACTATTAAGAAGATTGGCCATTAATGGGGCGCCTGGGTGGCTCAGTCAGTTGAGTGTCCGATTTCGGCTCAGGTTATGATCTCATGGTTCTCATGGGTTCGATCCCCACATTGGGCTCTGTGCTGACAGCTCAGAGCATGGAGCCTGCTTCAGATTCTGCGTCTCCCCCTCTCTCTCTCCCTCCCCTGCTCACACTCTGTCTCTCAAAAATAAATAAAACGTTAGGAAAAAAAAGAAGATTGGCCATTTCTGGAATAGTTATTTCAAAGAAATAATTAAGTCTCAGAAGAGCTCGTGCTCCTAGTTGAAAACAAAGGGCACCAGCTTGTCTCTCCTCTTTCCTTCTTAGAGCGTCCTGGAATAACAGGATCAAAGCTGAATAAAAATAATAGGAAAGAGATCAGAAATGGGGTTGTAGGGGTGCCTGGGTGGCTCAGCTGGTTAAGCGTCTGACGCTTGGTTTTGGCTCAGGTCATGACCTCACGGTTTCATGCTGTGCTGATAGTGTAGAACCTGCTTGGGATGCTCTTTCTCGTTCCCTCTCTCTGCCCCTCCCCTACTCACGCAGTCTCGGTCCCTCTCAAAATAAATAAACTTATAAAAAAGAAAAAAAGAAATGGGGTTGTAGATTTTTTTGAATGGAAAGGAGAAGAAATGCAAGATGCTCAGAATAACTGTGGGGTGAGACTGCAATGGAGGGGGACCTGCAGTGTTCCAGGAATCCTCTGGAGGCTGGGAGCGACCAGGTTAAAACAGAGGGCAGTACTTGAGAGTCAGTAGAACACCTGTCCCGAATGCCTAAGAGTGAAGCCCCTCTGACTTGGGTGGTTTGCTGCCTACTCTCAGGATCTGCACACTTCCAGCACACTCTGCAGCGTTTCAATTCGGGAGAGCTCCTGTGAGGCCCGTGAAAACAGGCCTGCACACACGACCAGGCAGGAAGTGCTTACTGACTCAGGCTCGGCAGCTTGGGTTTCTGTTCTTAAGTACAAGTAGACCTCATGGGGTTGCCTGCTAGGTGAGGAAGAGAGGTCAAAGATAAATGAACCAAAACAATGACTTTGGAGAAAATTGTGTGTGTGTGTGTGTGTGTGTGTGTGTGTGTGTGTGTGTGTGTAGAAGCTACTCTACCCATAAAACAAGATCAAGGTGCAATAAAAAACACAACCAAATACAAGGAAGTACTTGCAATTAATAATACAGCTTCTGCAATAAAACATTAGGAGTACTGGAAGATAAAACCCAGGAAATTCCCCAGATTGTGTACTCAATTGTAGGTAGGGAATAGAAAACACTGAAGAAGGTAAAAGAGGAGTGCCTGGGTGGCTCAGTCGGTTGGCTGACTCTTGATTTTGGCTCAGGTCATGATTCTAGGGTCAGGGGACCAAGCCTCACATCAGACTTTGCACTGAACGTGGAGTCTGCCTAAGATTCTCCCTCTCTCTGCTCCTCTCTCCCACTCGCTCTATCCCTCTAAAATTAAAAAATAAAAAAAAAAAAAAAAAGGTAAAAGACACAGAAGCTCACCAAGGATCAAATTCTTGCTAATGGGAGTATCCACAAGAGAAAACAAAGAAACTATAGGGCCAGAAACGATATAATAAAGAAAAAACATAATAAAAGAAATTTTCCCAGAAACTTTCAAGGGAAACTGGAATCTTCCTCTGAAAAGGCTCACTGAAGGGACCTAGCTGAAAAAAAGAAAACCAAACCAAGGAATAAACTTATTCTAAGGTATATTTTAATGAGATCTCAATATAACAAGGATAAAGAGAAGATCCCCAGAAGTTCCCAGGAAGGATAAAACATGGCATCTATAAAAGACTGAGAATTAAGATTAATATCAGATTGTTCAGTAATGCACTGGACACTTAGCAGATAGCAGAGCAAAAATTTCATGTTCTTAGGCAAGGTTATGCTGAACCTCTTGGTGTGAAAACAAAGAACTTGTTTAGGTATATACAGATTCAAAGACTATCTCCTATGCATCCACTGGGAGGGAGTTCCTTTAGGTTTCACTCTCATTTTGCTGGAGTGCAAATACAGAAATGGGAAGACATGAGATATGAGAAATTCTAGTATTGACCCAGGAATGAATGAAAAGAAGTGGAAAGATGACAGCACTACAGTAGGCCTAAAATTCCGCTATTCAAATTACAAGAAATCAGTAGGCCCTGGAAAGAATGAAACAAATTCTATTACACAGGCAGTGTGTAGAAGCTGCAAGACCTTAGGAATACCGTAAAGGTGTTTATCACCTCTCTCAATTAGGAGGAAAAAGAAAGGCAATTAGAAACTACAGGAAAAACCTAAAACCACACAAGAAAACCATGGTCCACATGTGAAGCCAACAAAATTGTGGTGGGCCTTTGAGTAACTGATGGAATGGAAGAAAAGAGATGGGTGCACAAAGAAGAAAATGTAATCCCAGTGAACTACTTAATCAGTATCTAATAGCAATTACAATCTATTATAATAGCGCACACACTATTTACTATCTTTTCACTTTTAGCCTCTATCTATAAACACAGGATGGAAAATTTAATCACGGCAACACAAAATTAGTCTTAATAAAAGGATAAAAGGCAAGTGGATGCAAATTGAACAGAGAAGAAGGGGCAGATGGTCATGGAATGAAGAGCTGATGGAACAAGAAGTCAGTCTTTTGGAGAGTGACCAGAGTTAAAGGACTGCTAGTTTTCATTAAGAATCCTTCCTTCTGGCCTTTTGATGTCATCCTGTGCACACTAACTTACTGTGGTTGCCTTGGCACAGAAAGTAGTGGCTGGTGGTAAACTGAGAGTGGTGTTTACACTGGGAGGGACAGAGATAAGGTGTCCCCCAGAGGGTACTTCTTGTTTTTGACTATAATTCAAAATCAATTTTTACTGCCATTGACCAATACCCCCTCTACCCTTCAATGGCAATGTATTAAAAAAAAAAAAAAAAAAAGACTAAACAGGAAAGCCAGCTTTCATGAGCCAGAAGCTGACTGCTGGAACATTTGCTCTTTGCTCCCATTTCCCCACTCCTTATCCCTAATCTATTCTAAAGAGGCTTCAAAGGTCATATAACCCCACACTGTTAGAAATCCTTCCAGAACAGAACTCTGGGTGTGCATTAGGAGGAGCTTTATTTAAAAATGAAAAATAAAAACAACTAATTATGATCTTAGCCCCAACCCAGGCCAATTAAATCTTTCTGGTGGAGGCCCTAGACCTGATATTTTTAAGAGCTCCCCGGTTCAGTCGGTTAAGCGTCCAACTCTTGATTTCAGCTCGAGTCATGATCTCGGTGGTGAGACTGAGTCCTGTGTCAGACTCAGTGATGGGTGTGAAGCCTAATCAGGATTCTCTCTCTCCTTCTCTCTGCCCCTACCCTGCATGCATGTGTGCATCTGTGCATGCACTCTCTCACTCTCTCTCAAAACAAACAAACATTAAAATAAATAAATAAAAGCTCCCAGATGATTCTGACTTGTAGCCAGCATTGAATCCTGACTCCCCGGTAGTCTTCTGATGGGCTCTGTACTCTGCTCCAGGCCTTCACCCACCACTGTGCTCTAAGACTCTAAGTGTGCAGAAATACAATTGCGATTACTGCCAAGAAGACAACTATTTTTTCTTTCCGATAAAACAAGCATGCACGCATACTCTGGTTTACACAAAGTGTCCTTCATAACTTTATTGTAAGGGGTAAAAATTGGAAAAAACCTAAATGTCCAACAACAGAAAAGTAGGTACATTACGGTATAAGCCACAGGACAGAAAGGGAGACAGGTTTAAAAGTAAGGATTTGTCAATGACTTGAGAATAATAAGCCTAATAAAAGGTCGTGTGGAAAAAAGGTCATGATTAAAAAAACTTAGCTACATGTTATGAGCTTGATTTTGTTAAAGGTATGTATTTAAAATAATTAGGGGGGAGGGGCACCTGGGTGGCTCAGTCGGTTGAGCGTCTGACTTTGGCTCAGGTCATGATCTCACGGTTCCTGAGGTCAAGTCCCACATCCGGCTCACTACTGTCAGCCTGTCAGTGCACAGCCCACTTCAGATTCTCTGTCTCTCTCTCTCTGCCTCTCCCCTGCTTGCACTCTCCCCCAAATAAATACATATTACAAAAAAAAAAAAAAATTAAAAGAATTGTTTTAAGACTGTAGGATAGTAGCTGCTTTAGCTGCTATCTGAAGTACCCAACAGCCGGGAGCCTGGACCCCTCCTACCACTACCCTGCTAAGGTGTCCAAGGTCATGTCATGGAAAAGGAGGTTCTGTGGCCAAGAGCATCGAGGAGGCACTCATCACCTGCTCGCCTCGCCTGACACACCCCAGTGAGGTGGAATCAACTGGCCAAGGAAGAGCCTGGTGTTGGTCATGGAGATTAGCATTTTGGTGTCCTTCTTTTCTTGTTTTTGTTTTTTTAATGTAAACAGAAGGCAAGCAGGGGAGGGGCAGAGAGAGAGGGAGACACAGAATCTTCCAGGCTCTGAGCTGTCAGGTTTGAACCCACGAACTGCGAGATCATGACCTGAGCTGAAGTCAGACACTTAACCAATTGCTGCCCCCATTTTGGGGTCATTCTTGGGGGAGCGTACCTGTATAGTCTGCACTTCAACCTGATATGGCATGTGCTACTACACCAAGTCCAATGTCATAAATGAGTATTCCAAAGATATCCTAACAACTTGCTACCAAAGGAGGAAAATACTAAGATCTGTTAAGATCTTGAACGAAGGGGCGCCTGGGTGGCTCAGTCAGTTAAGCATCTGACTTCGGCTCAGGTCATGATCCCGTGGTTCTAGCCCCACACTGGGGCTCTGTGCTGACAGCTCAGAGCCTGGTGCCTACTTTGAACTATTTTTGTTGTTGTTGTTGTTATTTATTTCCAGGAGAGAGAGAGAGAGAGAGAGAGAGACAGCGTGAGCAGGGGAGGGTCAGAGAGAGGCGGAGTCACAGACTGAAACAGGCTCCAGGCTCCGAGCTGGCAGTCAGCACAGAGCCCGACGCGGGGCTCGAACCCACGAACCGTGAGATCATGCCCTAAGCGAAAGTCGGATGCTTAACCGACTAAGCCACCCAGGCGCCCCTTCCGGGTGCCTACTTTGGATTCTGTGTCTCCCTCTTTCTTTGCCCCTCCCCTGTTCTCTCTCTCTCTCTCTCTCTCTCTCTCAAAAATAAAGAAACATTAAGAAAATTGTTCTTAAAGATCTTGAAGGAAGAATAGGTTGCATTTCTCACTGTGCCTGTCTCAGTTTGCAGAAGGGGACTCTGCCAACACTGTCCAGGACTTCAACAAGAAGGTCACGGCCTAGTTAGACCTCAACCTGGACCAGCATGAGGTGGCCTCCCAGTGCTACGCCACCCAGATACCCTCTGGAGCTTATTAACACCCAGGCCAGCACCCACCTGTCCCACCCCTATCTGACTAACACGGTTATGGATGACCACGTTGAAAACATGGAGCCCTGAGTTCCTTTATGTCTCCTTATGCCAGGGCGAGGAAACTTACACAATGCAATGCGGAGAAACCATTAGAGGCATTCAGAAACACAAGGTCAGCACCTGATTTGGCACTGTGGCGACAAACATGCCGTGGAAACGTTGATGTGCTCTTTCCCAGTGGAGAAGGACTCTCTGGAGAAAGATCCGATACCACGGTAACCCCCCACGGTTTATGTTCTGTGCAGTGACGACTGTTTATCACCTTTTCATATAAGTCACAGACAGGGTTTTTACTACTTTTTCAACTCATAATTCAGTTCAAACCATTACCTTTATTTCTTTCCAGTCGTTTATTTTTTTTTTTGTTAATTATTTTTTACGACAATGGTTTTGTATAAAGAAAAACGGTTGGGTAATAAAGGACACAGGTCTATTAGCCAGCAGCAGGGGCCTGCCCAGCATATTTCTGCCTCCGGGTGGGTCCCCGTTCTCAGGTGAGTGAATGAAGCCAGCCCCTCAACCCTCCAGCCCTACTTCCCTCTCTAAGCATAGGTGGCTACTCACAGTGACTTCCTTCCCCAGGCTGACAGAGGCCAGGACACGCTTCATTCCTTCTCCACTTCCTATCTGCCAGATCAAGGCCTCTGCAGCTTGGTTCTTAAAGGGCCAGTCTCTTGCTTGCAGCTCATACCAAATAGTCCTGTGGGGGCCATGCATGCAGCGTGAGTTCCTGAACTGCTCAGCCCAGCTGCTGCCCAGGGGCTCTCACCGCCGCAGTGCCAGGAGGCCAGGCAGAGTATCCAAGATCCTTCTCCGGCTTTCTCCACCCACCAGGCTTCCAGAAGTACCGTGACGGCATCCTGGTGGCTCCTCCCAGGCACCAGGGGACCCGTGGCCCTACGCATCTGTTGTGATGGAAGGTCTGAGGCTGCACAGGCTCTGAACACAGATCCTGGCATAAATGTCTAGCCTCAAGTGGGGCTGACGCCTATGTCCAAGGTTGTCCGAGGAGTAACAAAGGCAACCTCGACTCATCTTGACCTTCTCCTTTAGACCCCCACTGCTCAGTGCGGGGGCCACTGGCGACGTGGGGCTATCGAGCAACTGAAATGTGGAGAGTGGACCTCAGGTGTGCTGTGGGTGTAAAATACTCTCCAAGGTTTGGAAACTTCATTGGGTAAAACAGCTCCTTGATGTTTAAATCTTGGTTAACATGTTGAAATGATAATATTTTGGATATATTGAGTTAAACACATTTTATTAAAACAGATTTTATCTGTTTTCCTTTTTTTTTTAGCATGGCTAAGAGAAAATGTTAAACTCTGTATCTGGCTCATGTTACCTTTCTATATTTCTATTTTTCTTTTGGTTAGCATCGTGGGGGCACTAAGTCTGGCTGCCAGGACCCCGGTTCTCTGAGAGGGACGGCTCTTAGCTCTGGTCAGCAGTTCCATGGGCACCGGGTGAGACAGACACCCAGCAATGACCTAACTTAGTCTTCATGAAACTGTTGAGGAGGTACCATTTTTTTTCCCATTTTACAGATGGGAAAAAAGAAGGTCAAGGATGCGGCTCCTTAGCCAATGAGTGGCAGAGCCAGGACTCGAAGCACACCACCACCCCCTCCCTGTCCCCAGTGTCACCCGGGGCCCTTTCTTTCAGTCACCCTTGGCCTCAGGGACTCAGAAGGGGTGGGGGGATGGCTGGGGCCTCCTCACCCAAATGCATAGACATCAGCAGCTTTAGAGAAAGGCAGCTGGTCCTCGTCCTTCCCGGGGGTCATCTCGCGGACGATCTCCGGGGCCAGGTAGCACAGCCAGTCATGTGACAGCTTCAGCTGGTTCTCACGCCTGGAGGCCAAGAAGCCAGAACAGGGACACGGGGGCCTTTCAGCCAGCAGCCAAGAGGCAGCCCAGCACACACGTGCTCCAGGGCCGGCACACCGCCCGTGCGTGGCCCAGAAAACAGCACGCCGATCCCGCACTTGGCCAAGCCACCGGTGCTTTGGAGGGATGTTACAGAAGAGGGATAACCTAGTTTTTCTAGGAAAGCAGACCAGCAGCAGGTATTAGTAGGGAGCTGATTCTCCTCCCTAGAAGAGCGGAGCGTCTCCACACAGGAAATCAGTCTGCGTGTGTATCTTACAACCTGGCCTGGGGCTCGAACTCCAGCCGGACTGCCCTCTCCCTTCCTGGAGCGCCCCCGCCCCCCACCTGATTCTTGGAGAAGAGCCTTTCTCCCCACCCCCACCTTTCAAGATTTGGGGAAATAAAACCTGACGCTCTTCCTCAAACCAGGGACACGAACCCTTGTCCCCTGCTCAAGTCAGTGAGCGAATAGGTCATATGAGAGCAAGGGAGACCCAGCCTCCGTGGGGGTCAGCGTGAGAATGAAGTGCCATGTATGAGGGACCCAAACGTCACCCATACCTGATTCGGGACCAGAACCCTAAGGACAGGACCTAAGTAGACCTGGCCCTTCCTGTAAGGGGAGGGCTGTTCCTCAGCAGCACGTAGCAAGTGCCCAAACACCCGCCGCACCTCGAAGCCCGGCTGGCACTGCCCAGGTCCTCTGCGTCCCGTCCAGACACCCAATCCCAACTCACCGTCCCTCTTGGACCACGCCCGAGATGCCAAAGAGCCCGAAGTCCGTGATGACCACTTTGCCGTTGTCATAGAAGACGTTCTTGGATTTGAGATCTTTGTGGACAATGCCCTTGGCATGTAGATACCCCATGCCCTGGAAAACAGGGAGCCTCACGTCAGCGGGGGGCGGGAGGAGGAGTGACAGGGATTCAGCTTCTACCTGGGCTGGGCGATGAGCTGTATGCCCTCCCCATGTCCCCTCATGGGGTCTTAAAGTCTCATGTGGTAGAACTGTCTCCATTCTACATATGAGGCCACTGAGCCTCAGAGAGGGGACATCACTTGCCCCAGCAGTTAAGCAGCACTGCTGACCATGGCATTGTGCTGTCCAACGGGCACCATATACTTAGCTAAGGTGTGGAGAGGGTGACAGGTGGGGAGCCGGCGGGGGGGGGGGGGGGGGCGGTGTCCAGAAGTGTATAAACAGTGACGATACCACCCACATGAAGTCATACGGGATTCGGGTGACCTAGACGTCTCTATCAGGCTTTACACCAACTGGCCTCTACCCTTAAGCCAAGCAAGGGCTCAGGCTGGGAAACAGATGAATTCCCAGACAGGAGGCCCCCCAATTCAGGTGGTCCCAGTATGTGTGCTGTGGCAGAAGGAGTCCTGGACTAATACCGACGTCTAGAAGCCAAGTTCCACCTTGGCTCAGGTTTTAATTCTCCGTGTGACCTTGGGCACAACTTCTGAGCTTGTAGCTTGTTTCCTCCTCTATCAAGTGGAAGGGGGGGGATGGGTGATTTCTAACCACTGCTCTACGCAGAAGTGAACCCTGGCCAGGCGTACGGGACGCAGGCCACCTGACGCAGGCACGCTCTCACTCAAGGTCAACCTGTCTTCTGACGTGAAATGCACGACTCCCGTGTACTCCCCGGATGCCCTTGGGAACAGGAGCAGACGCCACCACTGAAACGGCCACCCGGCCAGCTCAGAAAAAGACACAGGTAAAGCCACCTCCCCCCCTCCCACATGGAGGGCACTTCACACATTACGAGAGTCCTGGCTTTAAAGCTACTTGGGCCGAGGACTGGAAAGGTAAAAACAAACCGCGTTAAGGAAACAGAACGAGCCCTGACACAGAACCCAGCTGAGGCCAGAGCTCCTTCCGAGGGGATCTGGAGAGCATCAGAGAAGAGTTTCCACAAGGCAAGAGAGGGCAGGGCGTGGGGTCTGCGGTAGCAACCCCTCATACCCCCAGGCTTGCGGAGAGCTCTCTCCCTGCTGTGGAAGCAAAGAGCTCCAGGAAAGAGTGACTTGCTCCCTCCCACAAGTCCATCCTGAATGCAGGAAAATCACTCCTAGGATATCTGCCCATTTCCCAAACCCAACCAAGGCACAAGCCTTCCTCGGCGACCCAAGACGCCACCCTGGGCTGAATAGCGACCAGCTACATGACCGAGGACAAGTGGCTGTACCACTTTGGGCCTTGTTTTCAAAAGAGGTGCCATGGCACCCTCCTACACTGTTCGTGGGAATGTAAACTGGTTCAGCCCCTCTGGAAAACAGTGTGGAGGCTCCTCAGGAAACTAACAATAGAACTCCCCTAGGACCCAGCAATAGCACTGCTAGGAATTTACCCAAGGGATACAGAAATGCTGAGGCATAGGAGCACATGTACCCCAATGTTCACAGCAGCACTCTCCACAATAGCTAAAACATGGAAAGAGCCCAAGTGTCCATCAACAGATGAATGGATCCAGAAGATGCGGTTTATCTATACCATGGAATACTACATGGCAATGAGAAACAATGAAGTCTGGCCATGTGTAGCAACATGGATGGACCTTGAGGGGGTTATGCTGAGCGAAATAAGTCAGGCAGAGAAGGACAAATACCGTATGTTTGCACATATAGGAGGATTAGGAGGAACTTAACTGAGGAACAAGGAGGAGAAGAAAGGGGGAAATGGTGGGGGAGAGGGAGAGAGGCAAACCATGAGACTCTTGAATGCTGACAAAAACTGAGGACTGATGGATGTGGGGGGTGGGGTGGGCATGGAGGAGGGCACTTGTGGGGATGAGCACTGGGTATTATGTGGAAACCAAATTGACAATAAACTATTTGTTAAAAAAAAAAAAAAAAAAAAAAGAGGTGCCATGGCCTCCTTCAAGAGATGGGATTTAAGTGCCTAGGTCTATGGGGTGCCTGGGTGGCTCAGTCACTTAAGTGTCCCACTTCAGCTCAGGTCATGCTCTTGCAGTCTGTGAATTCAAGCCCTGCGTCAGGCTCTGTGCTGACAGCTTGGAGCCTGGAGCCTGCTTCAGATTCTGTGTCTCCTCTCTCTCTGCCCCTCCCCCACTCACACTCTAACAAAAATAAACATTAAAAAAATTTAAAAATTAAAAAATAGAGAAAAAAAAAATAAAAAAAAATAAAAAAAAAATAAAAATTAAAAAATAAATGCCCAGGTCTGGAGCACAAATCCCTTCCCTTCTCATGATTTCACGGGGTCTCCAGAGCAGCCCCCCCAATCACAAACCTAGCCAAAGGTCAGGGCCCTGTTCTTGGATTTTGAACCTCAAAATACTAATGATGAGAAAAGGAAGTGGCTTAGAGAGGACAGCTTCTCAGCAGGCGAAAACCAAACCAAACAAGCCAGCAGAGGGGCGGCTTCCGGCTCTGTGGCTCCAAGGTCTTTGAGTAACTTCTCTCGTCTGCCCCTAGAATCTTCTCGATGGTTCCTTCATCTGACCTCAGCCTGTCAGCAATCACACAGAGATGCCCCAGTGTACTGACTATAAGGAGAGAAAAACAATGTAGGATGGGGGTGGGAAGCAGGGCCCAGCAAGGCTGGGGACAGCACGAAGTAGGTGTGACACCCAGCTGCCCCCTCCGCCTCCTCTGAAAGGAGACATACTAAAAAGGAAGGCATAAATGTGGGACTTTAACCGAGAGGCTTCAAAATTCAATTCATTAATTCAGCCACGTGGACGTGTCACGTGGAAATCTTGATTTGTGCACAGATGTCACTGGTGATTTTTGTCTTTTCCTTGCTAAAGACACACACACACACACGCACGCATGATGGACGGAAGGAGGGAGGGAGAGAAAGGGAAGGTAGGAGCGGAGCTGGGAGACCGGGAGCTGTAGGGAGCCCCTAAGAGCAAGCTTTTCAACAAAAAACAAGAAAAGACGAATTCCTACCCAGCAGTCGTCTGGCTTTAATCCGAGCCTGCCTGGGTGCTAAATAAAGCGACTTATAAATAAGCCTTTCTTTCATTTGCATTTAATTACTCTAAATAAATAAATAAATAAAGTCTAAAACCACCAACAAAAAATTAATCAACAAAACGAGGGAGGGAGAGAGGAAGGAAGAGAGAAAAAGACAGACAGAAAGACAGGGAGGGAAGAAGGAAGGAAGGCAGAAAAAAGGCTGCCCGAGGGCCGGTCCTCATGAAACTTGGACTTGGAAACTTGAAGGCAGAAAGCACGGGTGCTTTCACACCGCCCTCAATCAGTTCTTAGACTCTCATCAAACACCATGCCCTGTGCCCAATGCGTCCCCAGCGGATTATCCCATTCCACTCCAGCACGAATCCAATAGGGGAGGCCACGTTGGAAGCCCCCTCTTACTGGAGAGGAAGCCAAGGCTCAGAGAGACTCAGTGACCCGCCCAAAGTCACACAGCTGGCGTGACCAGCATTCAAACTCAGTCCATGTGTCTTTAAAGCCTGTCATGGTCCAATTCACCCGTCATCACAGACTGGGGGGGTCTAGCTCCTGGCTCTAAGTGGATGAGACACGGGCAGAGGGACAGAGATGGGGGCCCACCCTTGAGGCGTTCCAGCTAAAGGAAGAGACAGAGCAGGAGGGGGCCAGGAACCCCGGGGACCAGCCGGCTAGCCCTCTACCTTGATGATCTCCTGAGCGATCTGTCTGGTCTTGTTGATGTCCAGAGACGTCTTGGGGTCCCTCACAAATGAGTGCAACGTCCGCCCCTTGCAGAAGCTGTGGAGAGTGGCGGGGTCAGCGGGCTGGGGCCAGCACAGTCCGACCCCAGCCCCTGTGGACAGAGCTGTGCCCCCAGCCTGTGGAGGACCCTATCCATCCTCTGGACGGTGGGCACTAGAATCCTCGTTCTTCACCACGCCTGATGCCCCTTCCTTCCTGGCCAGGCCTGAGCGTGCAAAAGCACACACACACGCGCACACGCACCTTATTCCCTGAGGCCCAGGGCCTGCCCACCCCAGATCCGGAAACCCCGTTCACCGAGGCTATTGGTGCTCCAGAGCAGCCCACCCTTGGGGGATTCAAGGCAAGAACGTGCCTTCAAACTCAGGGAAGAATCTGGCCTTTTGGGACTATGGCCAGACAATACTGGGGATGCTCCATAATGATGCTCGTGATCATTTTGCTGTTTTCTGATCACAGAGATTTTATTACAGTACAGGAGTGTGCAGGCAGAGGGTGGCTTCAGGGGGATCAGAGTGATTACTGGGTGACGGGCTCGCATTTTCAGGCCTCCTGCACTGACTCCTAAAACGTGGGCTGAACAAGGACCCGGAGAGAGCGTATCGCCTACTCCCCGGCTCCTGGCAAAAGTTGAGTGAAGGCATCTCACGAAGAAGCCAGTTTTAGGAAAGTTCTCCAAGGAGACAGGGTTCTTAAGGCCTCGGAGACTTTGAGCACCGGCCGAGGGGTCGGGGATAGTGGCTGAGGGCTCCTGGTCTGGGTTCTAATGCCCTCAGCATAATCCGAAACGCAACTCTTTTGGGTAATGGATGATTTGTTTCGCACATTCCCTTTAAGCAGACTCTGATTCTCGTGGCGTGGGTGGGTGAGGAGAGACGGAGGGATGAAGGGTGGGCGGTGCTGGGGCCCGGGACCCTGGGGGGTGCTGTGCGGCTCCCTACATCATCATGTCGTCCTGTTCCCGGCTGGAATTCTGTTCCCTTGGTGGCTAACTTGGGGATGTCAGCAGTTCTGGTTGTTCTCGTTTATGCCTTGGATGACCACGCCAAAGGGAAATTAATTTTTACTTAGTAATTCGTTTGTTTGGTGGGGTAGTGGGGGGAAAAGGTTCTTTCAGCACGGGGTCTGCCTATAAGGGAACGTCACCAGAATATTAATGAGCGGGCTCCCAGTTGATGGGATTAGAGCGATTTCTAGTTTTTTCTTGAAACCGCCATGTATATTCCAAACTACCTCCACTAACCTCTTATTACTGTTTCTCGTTTTTAATCTTTTATTATTGTTACTATTTTTTAATATTTGTACCTTTTTTTATATATTTATACATATTTATTCATTTGTTCATTCACTTATAGGCTTTACACATGGCGTAGAGCCCCAACGTGGGACCTGAACTCACCACCCTGAAGATCAAGACCTGAGCCGAAATCTCAGGAACCAAATGCTTAACCACCCAGGCGCCCCTTGTTGTTCCTGATTTTATAAGTAAATACCCGGGGCGCCTAAGTGGCTCCGTTGGTTAAGTGTCCTACTTCGGCTCAGATCATGATCTCGTGGTCTGTAAGTTTGAGCCCCGCGTCCAGCTCTGTGCTGACAGCTCAGAGCCGGCTTTGGATTCTGTGTCTCCCTCTCTCCCTGCCCCTCCCCCACTTGCACTCTGTCTTTCTCTTTCCCGAAAATAAACATTAAAAAAAAAAAAAAAGAAACAGACAACGTCCATCAGAGCACCACATTCGTATATGCTCGCCCAGCCCACGTACTCACGTAAGTTCACAAACATATGGAAACGAAGATGTTCCATACGGCAAAGCGCCCAGCAAAAAAGAGGGCGGGCTGAATATCCTGGGGGGAACAGGGGATCAGGCAGAGCCCAGCCCACTTTCAGCGATGTCATGGTGGCAGCTTGAAATCAGGCACGGGGAGAGTATTTGCACCGCAGCAAGTGACCTCTACGCAAGCGAGGGCTTCCCTCCCCACCACCCAGGCATCAGAGGTTCAACATTTACGAACACACTGCTGAATTCAGCTATGTGCCAGGAATGTGGGGTGAGCGGTAAAGACGGTACTCGAGCGGAGAAAGCAGGTGCGACCCCTCAGGGTCTGTGCTATTTTCACAAAGGAACGGATAGTTTAAAACCCTGAGTGTATACAAACTTCTTTATCTTGACAGAAGGCATTGTAAGGATCTGCGTATAGTACATCCACTTGCGGGAAGAAGCACCTGGGTGGGGTGCGAAGGAGACTAGCTTTCATCTTGTACCTTTCTGGAACACTTGTTCTCTACCATGAGGCATCATGAGACACAGAATCTGAAACAGGATCCAGCCTCTGAGCAAGCATTCAGGACAGAGCCCGACGCGGGGCTCAAACCCATGAACTGTGAGATCATGACCTGAGCCGAAGTCGGGTGCTCAACCGACTGAGCCACGCAGGTGCCCCTATCGTTTTGTTTATGTTTTAATGTCCGTGGGGCTACGCGATGGGGAAGGCTCTGTTGTACTACCCACATTAAGACCTTCACGCAATAGGGGCGCCTTGGTGGCTTAGTCGGTTAAGCGTCCGACTTTCGCTTGGGTCATGATCTCGCGTTCGTGGGTTCGAGCCCCGCGTCGGGCTCTGTGCTGACTGCCAGCTCAGAGCCTGGAGCCTGTTTCAGAGTCTGTGATTCCCTCTCTCTCTGACCCTCCCCTGCTCACGCTGTCTCTCTCTCTCTCTCTCCTAGAAATAAATTAAAAAAACATTAAAAAAAAAAAAAAGACCTTCACGCAATAGTGGGGTGGCCGGGGGCCGGGTTACCTGGTGATGATGGCCAGGTGGGGCGGGTTCATGCAGGCCCCCATGAAGAGCACCACGTTCTCATGCCGCGTCTGCCGGTAGTTCATCACCTCCTTCTTGAACAGCTTCAGGTGGTCCTGGTTGTGGCCGTCCATCTGCAGCAGGCGGATGGCCACCTCGCCGTGCCAGCGGCCTCGGTGCACGCGGCCCCAGCGGCCCTGCCCGATGGGCTCGCCCAGCTCCACCTGCTCGAAGGGGATGTCCCACTCCTGCAGGTACACGCTAGTCTGGCTGGCCTTGCGAGAGATGGGGCCCCGCCAGGGCCGGCGGGGGCTCGGCAGGTCGTCCACCTCATCTTCGTCGTCCTCTGCCTCGGACTTGCCGGCCTCTGCCTCCTCGGCCTGGCGGGAGGGGGGAGGGACGGAGCAGGGCAGCAGATATGGGCTCGGCCAACTGGCCCCCCCCGAACCCCACCCAGGTAAGGGGAGAAAGGGGCAGGGGGTCGGGGCGCAGCTCCACACCAGCCTGCTGTGGCCAGGGGCCGGGTCACTTAGCACCGCAGGACCCCAGCATCCGCACCCGCAAACGTGGCACCTGGCCCAGGGAGGCCCTGAGGCCCTTCTTCTCACAAGTGCTCCAAAATCTACTGCTGAATGACATCTAATCGCTAGGAAAGAGTGTTAACATCCCGTGGTATAGACGAATTTAACCCCACTGATCCTTTCCGGCCCTTTCTTTGTTTAAAACAGTTTGTGACTGTCCTCCAGGCAGGAGTAACTCAGTTTCAACCCCTCTGCGTGGCTCGGAGCCAGGCTCTCGGTTGATACTTTGATTGGAGGGTGTAGACGGTGGTTCTCGGCCCTGGCTGCAATCAGAATGACCTGGGGGGCTCTGACATCGCGGGGATGCCTGGCCCCACGCCAGACTGACTGAACTAGAGCCTCCCGTGCTGGGCCCCCGGCCTCCAGGCTGGGAACCATGGGAGCGATGGGCTCACTGGAGCTTCAAAAATAAAAAACCCGAAGAAGGCTCATGTTTCTCATCACTCTTCCAGGCTGTGCACCTGCTGCAGCAGGCGCCCAAGAGGGCCCTCCGCAGTGCCCGGCACCCAGGCGCCCCCCACACCTGTGTGTGGAGACGAGGAGGAAGAGGGGAGAGAGAGGCACCGTCTCCGGGCCACCCGGGTCACCCTCACTCACCTCTGCTTCGTGATCCTCCACCACGTCTGTTTTGGGCTGGTTGTCGAGCCTGAGAGTAAGACGGTGCGTCAAGGAGACCCTGGGGACGGGTCAGTCTGTGCTTGGATGGGCACCCCCCCCCCACAGTGAGGTCTAAGGGAGGGCCACCAGTCCTGCCTCCTTACTGAACCCGCTCGGCCGTGGGCAAGGCTGTCTAGATGCCGAGGAAGCAGACAGGAGGCCAAAGACCAAGCCCCATTTCCTTTCTCTGGCCTCAGCCTTCTTTAGACTAACCTGAGGGGGACGGAAGCGGGGGGGGTGAGGGGTAGGCAGGGACCACCAAGACCCTTTCAAATCTAGTGCCCCAGCAGGGGCTCTGGGCACACACACACGACCTGAAATCCTAATGTGGGACTTTATGCAATTTCTTTCTTTCTTTTTTATAAGATTTATGTATTTTGAGGGGCACCAGGGTGGCTCAGTTGGTTACGTGTCCGGCTTCGGCTTAGGTCATGATCTTGCAGTTTGTGGGTTCGAGCCCCGTGTTGGGCTCCGTGCTGACAGCTCAGAGCCTGGAGCCTGCTTTGGATTCTGTGTCTCCCCTTCTCTCTGCCCCTCTCCTGCTCATGCTCTGTCTTTCTCTGTTTCTCAATAATAAATAAATGTTAAAAAAAATTTTTTTAAATATTTGAGGGTGAGAAAGAGAGAGAGAGAGAATGAGTGGGAAAGGGGCAGAGGGAGAGGGAGGATCCCAAGCAGGTTCTTCACTGTCAGCGAGAAGCCCATCGCAGGCTCGATCCCATGAACAATGAGATCATGGCCTGAACCACAACCAAGACCCAGGTGGTCAATCAACTGAGCCACCCGGGCTCCCCTAATTTCTTAACCTCTCTGTAGGTGCTTTCTCCTCTGTAGATTACGGATGACATCTACTTTAATACCTACCTTCCCCAGGCTCAGGACTGTATGAGGAAACGGGTCAAGGGCTCAGCAAATCCGGACATGGGGAAAGGGCTCCATCAACAGGAGCTTTTTTTCGTAGGCATCTCTAACTCCGAGTGGCCTTGGCCCATCTCTCTCGGGTCACAAGTCTGCTCTGGGCTCACATCTATCCCTACCCAATGTTGACTACACCAGCAGGAGACAGATAAAACCCTCTGGCCGAGGTCACTGGTCCAGGGAGTGGGTTAGCCCGAGGAGTGCCCCACCTGGCTGGCCCAGAGCAGGTCAGAGCCTTAAAGGTGGGGCGGGGGTGGGTCAGGGCTGCGGGCCCCACTTTAACAAGCCCCCAGAGAAAAGAAGGCGAACACAGGGTGGGGATGCCTACCGGGTACTGTCTGCTGCATCCGGGGACGGGCCTGCCTGTGGAAATGCGGAGATGTCTGCAGCAAACAAAAAAGCAAATATAAAGCGTGAGATCCCCTCCCCACTAGCCCAGGGGACACGGTGCTTACAAAGTGCACGCAGAGGAATGGCTCCTCCCCTAGCAGCCCGCCCCGCCCTCCACCCCAGTGCTGCACCTGTGTGCTCCGGGCCACTTCTTCTAAAACCCAACAGGGACACAACCTCTACAGCACATGGCTTTGCCCCCACAGCTCTGTGCCGGAAAGGGACTCCAGGTAAGCGAGGAGATTGAGATTCCCCCGTTAGCCCCATTTGCCTGTAGACAAATGGCCCCATAGAAGCAAGTGGTAAAAACGAACTGGGCATTACTTCCGTAGGAGTCAGACCCCCCTTCTCGGCTCAAAGGCGGCAGCAGGTGCAAAAGCCCTCTGAAAGGAGTAAGACTCCTTTGCGGAGGCCAGCGGCGGCCCGCGGAGGCCCAGGGCAGGGCTTGCAGATGGCTCATCAGTGCCATCTAGCGTCTGGCTCAGCGGCTGGGGATTTCTGGCAGCAGCCAGAGGCCCCGTCCCCTAGGCTTCTGGGTTTGGGGCCGAGGGCGGAGTAGCTCTCAGGGGGAGAGGAAGAAATGCACAGTCCACCCTGCCAGAACCCAAGGATTGGGCCGGTGGGGCTGACCCTGGGCTTTTTCCAGTTTTAGCACTGAAAGCCCCACATCCGGGGAACACCACCCAGATGGTCACCCCAGTGTGGAACCCAACCCATGGCTGCTTCTGCGGCCCTTCACTCCTTCTTCTCTTGTCCACAAAAGAAGAGAGACCGTAGACGGCAGTGGCTGAGCCATCAGCACCCTCTCCCTGCCTTCTACGACAAAGAACCCCCTGACTCGGCCATCAAGCTCCCCTCAAGCTTTCTCTAAGGCTTTATCCAAGGCTACTGTGAGGTTATCTGAATCCCAATATCTCTGGGAGCTCAGACTTGGAGAATCTGATAGAGGCTGTGGGCTTTTCTACCAGGACAACGCACACGTCCACCACTCCTGGGGAGTTGGGAGTCCCGGATGCCTTGGCCAAGGCCTCCCCAGATACCACAACACTACCAGGGGCAGCCTGACCTTCCTACCCCTGCAAAACAGCTCAAATATTTCCACAGAAGATAAACACGTGCATAGGGGATGGGGAGGAACAGCGCCCCGAGTGGGAGGGAACAGCATCTCGGAGGCCTCACGCTTTCCCTTAAACACGAAGAGCTTATTTTGTGTTTTGCTCCAAAATGTGTCCATGTTTAACAGACATATATTCCCTCTCCTTCCTCGACATATCTTCAGAGCAAGACGGATCCTTCTGGAAACAAAGCCATGTTTTCCCAATGCTTTGGAGCACTCCCCTGTACAGTGGTCCTTGAGCTGGGAAGCAGGGAGGCTCTTAGAGGGGAGCCACAGCAAAAGTGGGTGTGAAACCACGGAGGCAGCGCGGAGAGCCTCCTGGGGCCAGCCCGCTCGCGCCCGGGCAAAGCCACACTAATAGTCCTATAAGAATTTCACAAACGCACCAAATCACTCCCCTAACGGTGCTGGGTTGGCAAACAGAAAAGCCTGGACTAACCAAAAGACCATGACTTCGAGAAAGGCCCGTTTAACCCATGAGAAAAACAATTAGCTACGGTCTTTGTCTAAACATACAGACGTCATATGGCTAAATTAAGAACGAAAGTGGCAGATGACTTATACGAATGCCTGTCATCCTCAACTGGAGAAATCAGCACTAATGGCATAAAGCCCTTGGGGGCATGCATATGGCCAAATGCAAAGCCTGGCACGCAGTAGGTGTGTACAACGATTTCTGTTGGAAGGGAATCAGAGGTAAAGTTGCCGCCTTGAAAATTTCTATGATAAAGCTGCATTTTACATGACCGCCATCAGATGGCGCCATATAGCAACACTCAGGCAGGTGAAGCCCCTGTAAGTGAAGCCTGCAGACTTGACTTTTCCCAGACCGGCTTCCCTTTCTGTAAGGGAAGTTAAGTCGTAGTCCCAGTTTCTGTAAGTCGTTTCCTCGTCATATGTAGGAGAAGATATTGTAACAGATGCTCATAAGGCATCCGCAAAAGGTCTGTCCCTGCCGCCCGGCAAGCTACTGCTGCCGTCAAGGGCCCACCTCACGCCCACCCACCCGTCTCCCTTTCCCAGCTGTGATACATAGTCAGCTCTCGAAGTAGGTGGACATGAGGCTCGGGCACCGCCCAGGTGTCCGGATGGCTGCACACAGGGGCCAGCGCAAGGGGCAGTTAGTGGGACCGTGCAAAGGACTCACCTGGAAAGATAAACTGCTGTCTATGATGAATGAAGTAGGCAGCTTTAAACAGAAGAGGAGGTGAGTCACACACACAGAACAGCAAACGCGGCAAAGGATGAGGGGGCCCAGGCACGGGCTGCTTTGGGGGAGGGGGTGGCAGAACGGCGTGACCCATGCAGGAAGGAGAGGAAGAACTGGAAGGAAATGGGGGTGCCCCGGGAAGGAAGGGGCTTGCCCTGGAGGGCTGAGGATGGGAGCTCGTGGTCCCCTTGCTGCAGAGCCCCGGTTGACGGCACTCGCGTCCCAGGCTCGCATCTCTTGGGAAATGTGCAGGAGCCCAGAAGGGCGAAATACTGAGAGGCCAACTGTGCCGTGTGCAGAGGAATGGTCTCCACCTCCGCGGCCCACATTCACCTCCAGAAGTGATGAAGGTTTAGCGACCCGGCTTCACCATCCAAAACAAAAACCCGCCTCTCTTAAGGGTCCCTGAAGGGGATGCACTGGGGGTCTGGACTCCGTAAAATAGGGGTACGGGCAGCCTTTGCCCACAAACTGATAGGCTCCCCCACAGGGCAGAGTGGGGACCCAACAGGAGCTGTTTTTCCCCAGGTTGGCCACCAGGGGCCAGCCCCGAGCGCTGCCACGGCCAGGGAGAGAAGAGACCCTGGACGGAGTGAGGGGACAATGAGGGCCCAGCCCAGGGACATCAGGGAAAGCTGAGAGGCTCCGCCTGACATCGCAAAATGGACTTTTTCTGTGGCTGTTGTTTCTCAAACAGGCCCTTCCTTTTACAAAAACCCAAACCAGAAGTTTCAGAGCAAAAGACTCCATTTCAGAGCAGAATGGGAAAGGAGGTCATTCAAAGGGGCCATCGCCCCACTCCTGGGGAAGGCGGGGGGAGGCGGGTGTGCGCAGGATGGTGCAGGCCAGAGCCAGCCAGCCAGGTGTGCGTCAAGGCGAAGGGACAGGCAAAAGAGAAACGATTCCTACAAAATCTCGGTCTCCCAGCGCCCCAAAAAGAAATCCCTGGTGCAAAGGGCCCAGAGAGGCTGCCTGGCTCCCACTGGCCGCATGAGAGTTCCCAGGACACAGGAAAGGCTGTGCCGCTGTCCCCACCCCGGGGCCTGGAGCCCCAAGGGCCAGGCCTGGCCGGGAGCCAACTGGAGCGTCCCAGGGGCCCCTCCCTCCTCTGGACTCTGCCCGCAGAATACATGGAGGGCCAAGGCCAACTGCAAGGAGCAGCCAGGGCGGCCAAGGCTCATTCTGAAACAGGCGAGCGGGCCCCGGTCCGCTCCTCGGAGAGATGGGATCCCCCAGGCCTGGCAGCGAGGAGGGAGACCCCGGCCCTGCAGAGCCCAGGGCAGCGGGGCTGTAGCGGCGTCAGAGGGAGCAGGCACCTGCCCGGAGCCTCAGTGTCAGCATCTGCACAGTGGGGATAACCTAACCCCGGCTTCCCAGGTCTCTGGCTTCGCGGAAAAGGGGACGAAAGCTTCCCCTCAATGAGCTTATGCGGATCGCGGAGCAGGTGAGCAGCAGGGCCGGGGCCTTCTGGGCCTCTGTGCTGCCCGCCCGCCTCCCGGGACCTCGGTGGCCCTGAGCGGGCAACGCCCACGAGAAGCCGCCCCACAAACCGGACGGCAGCGAGGGGGCTGAGTCAAGAACCCAGGCCTCGGGCCAGGGAGACCGCACTCTGATCCTGGCCCCGGCTCTCACGGGGGCAAGCCACCTCCTCTGAGCCTCAGTGTCCCCATCTGTGACACGGGGGTGACAGCGGCACCTCAGCAAAGCTCTCGTCAGGTCTGAACGGCGTAGCTCACTGCAGTGTGACACAGCGCCTGGCCCCCAGCAAACGCTCCCGTGGCAGCAGCGCTTGACCTGGAGCCTGCTGGGGCGTGTGAGAAGGGCCCCCCATCGTGAATGCACCCCAGAGCCCCGCGCCTGTGGTACCTGGGAAGCTGAACTTGCTGTCCCGCTGGCCGGGAGAAGGGTTGGGGGGCGTCGTGGCGCTGGGCGGATTGGACGACGTCGGGAAGGGTGCCGGCGAGGAGGGCGTGGAGGACGTGGTGGAGGACGGGTTGCTTCTGGAGTCCAGGTGGTTCATGGCCGGAGGGTGCTCCTGCAGGGGTGGGTGGGGCCGTCACTGCCCTACCCGGGGTGCGGCGGGACCCTCCCCTCCCTGCCTAAAAACCAGGAGGGCCCCCTGATGTTTTTGCCTAATATTTGAGGGTACAATGGCACAGAGAGGCCCTCGCCCCAATGCCCCTCCCCCCAGGTGACTCCCGCTCGTACCTCCTTCAGCTCAAACATACTTTCCTCCCAGGAGCCCTTCCTGAGCCCGGCGAGGACCACACTCCTCCTCCTTACGCTCCCATAAAAACTAGTGCTTTTCATCATGCACTTAAACTATGGTTTGTCGAGGGCAGCCATCGTGGGCGGTTTTCTGCAGAATGTCCTGCGTGTGCTGCGAAGGCAGGGACCCTGCTCATCATACCCCCAGCGCCTGGCTCTGAGCCAAGCACGCGGCAGGGTTTTTAGAATGAATTAAACTCAGGGGCGCCTGGGTGGCTCAGTCAGTTAAAGCGTCCGACTTCGACTCAGGTCATGAGCTCACAGTGCGTGGGTTCGAGCCCCGCATCGGGCACTGTGCTGGCAGCTCAGAGCCTGGAGCCTGCTTCAGATTCTGGGTCTCCCTCTCTCTCTGCCCCTCCCCCACTTGCTGTCTCTCAATATAAAATAATGATATAAAAAAATTTTTTTAAATAAACAAATAAAATGAATTAAATTCAGCCTCTGTTAAGTGTATCTGATGTGTGGTGCACAGTGGTGTCTAATAAATGCTCCACTCACTCTTCTGCAGGCCTACTGGCTAGGACTGCTCAGTGGTTTGGGCCCCAGCAAGATCAAAGGACCAGCTCAGAGAGGGCTGCAGGGGGAGTCTATGCTATGGGGGACCCTGGCCCTGACCCACTTCCCAGACCCTAACTCCAATCCGTTGGTGGACAGGCTGGAATTCCTTGGTCAGAAAAGCTGGGGCCAGGGGCGCCTGGCTGGCTCAGTCAAGAGAGCGTGTGACTCTTGCCCTCAGGGTCTAAGTTCAAGCCCCACTTTGGGGGTAGAGATTACTTAAAATTAAATCTTAAAAAAAAAAAAAAGTTGGGGTCAAATTAGGTTAAATGCTCAGTTCACCAGGTTTTCTTCTGCAGGCCCAAAGCCTCTTGGGTGCCCACGGGACTCCAGAATCTTCTGAAGCTATGCAGTGGGCCTCACGGTGAGGGGAAAGCCACCACCACCTGGTGTCATACGCAGGTCAGGGAGGGGGCTGGGTCCTCAGAGAGCCCATCCCGGTTCTCCGGGACCAGGCCGGCCGGCGCAGGGGGAGGCGCTACGAGGCTGACTGACTCCAGCTCCCCACCCAGCACCTGTGTGACCCCGTTCAAATCACCCCACCCTTCTGAGCCACAGCAGGTCTCTATCAAATGGGGGTAGCGGCTGCTGCTTCAAACACGTGCTTCACATGTCCGATGCTCGATACGAAGGTTTCCCCACTGCCCACCGTGTGCCAGGCCCCCGGGCAGGAGGAAGATAACATGGCCCCGCCCTCCAGAGCATGCCTGGGGAGACAGGCGACAGCCAGGGGACCCTCAGCCCTCGCCCGGGCAAGCCCTCCCTGTAAACACTGACGGGGGTGTCTCAGGCGGAGGGAACGGTGGGCACCAAAGGCCCAAGGTAGGAGTGGGCTGAGCTGGTGTGAGCCGGGGCGGCTGGAGAAGAGGGTGGAAAGACAGGCTGGCCTTTGACAGACAGGCCCTCGGCACAGCGCCCGGCACCTGGCGGGAACTTAGTAATGGTTAGCCCGCATTACGAGAATGGCCATCGACGGGGCTCAGGGAAGGACGACAGGCGGTCAGTGCCCTTGGCGACGTGAGAGAAGGCGCCACTCAGAACTCTGTGGGGTCGGGGCCAAGCAGGTGCGCGCAGGAGGGCTTCATGGAGGAGGAGGGCCCTGAGTGGGTTCCGAAGAACTGACGGGAGAGAGTGAAGGGGTGTCGGGGGACGGTGCAAGTAGGGGGTGCACCCGCTGTTGCCAGAGAGCGGAGGGCGGACGAGAGAGCGATGCCGGCAGGGTGGGGGTGGCAGGTGGGGGCCAAGCACCCCGCCCGAGGATGTGCGCTGATCTGTGACGGGCTGGACAGCACACACGGCTCCCGACACACAAGTTCACGCACATTGGCCTGTTACCCTCACACCACCCTGCGCACCAAGCACTATCAGCCCCACTTTCCAAACTAGGAAACTGAGGCTCAGAGAGGTACGGGAATTTGCCCAAGGTCGCAGAAGCAGGAAAGGGGGCTTGTCCGGACTGGAGCTCAGATCTGTGGTCCTACGCCCCCACACCCCTGTTCCTGGGGCAGGGGGGGGGGGACCGCCACCGTCAGGGGAGATGCAGTGACGGGAGGGAGGCAGGAGAGGAGACAAGGGCAGGCACAGAAGAGACGTCACCTCCAGGCAGTGACCCCCTTGTTGGACAAGGAGATGTGGCCACAGTCCCTCCCAGAACAGCCCCCCCAACTCCAGGCTGCATCTTCAGGGTCCCTGATTTCACCAGTCACGTCACCTGCTTCTCTTCTCTCTGCCCAAACTGTACCCAGACTGGCCCAAGCTGCAGAAGGCCGACCACGGCCCCAGAGAAGCCAGTCACGCGCCCCTCGGTGGGGACGCAAGGGCACGGCAAGCCCTGGTCTGGGGCTGGGACACAACCCACTTGAAAACCAACAGGTCACACGGCCACCGGGGGGCTGCTGTCGAAAGCCACCATCAGTGCGGTAAGCACGCAGGAGACGTTAGGTCAAAACAGAGGAAGCAGGTCATGGGCACGGTGAAAGACGGGATCCCGGAAGGCCACCCTCTGCTCCTGGACCCCAGATCGCATGCCCTCTTCCCTGCCGGATCTCTGCATTACAGGGGGGAGGGTTCTCCTGCCGCCTAGTGTACCTTCTTTGTCAGTGCTTTGGGGAGGGTTCCGAAGTGGGGCTCAGCTGCTCTGTCCACCGGGTTGTTGATGTCCGACGGGACGGATTCCGTCCTCCGAAGCCTGGGCTCTATTTGAAAGGGGGGAACCGTTAGTGGGGAACAGACGAGGCTACAGAAACAAGCCCCCCTCAAATCCAGAAAGCGGGGGAGGGGCAGAACACTCACGTGGGAGGAAGGATATTCTACAGGCCGGAGCTTCTTTTGTACACTTGTTGTGACACTTCAATCTGGTAAAGAAGGCAGGGTCAGCACGCGGAGGGTCACGCGGGGCTCCCAGGGCAGCCACGGGGCCCGCGGGCATCACCTGGCAGCTCCGGGTCACGCCTGCCTCTATCGGCACAAATCCCTCAACAAGCGTGAGCTCCAAAGTTTGGAACATCCTCCGTGGACAGTGCCGGCGGCCACTGCCAAGCACGACCATGTTCCTGCTGTCACCTGCCTTATCTTCACAGCAAACAGTTGAAGTCCTACCCACGGACACACTGCGGGGCCCACTTCTGTCTTCTCTCAAGGAAAGGAGAGCCTCCAGCCTCATTCAGAAAGCAGGAGGCAAGTCTGAACTTCCAAAAACGAGGAGTCCCAAGGGGAACGTCTGCATTAGCCAAGGTCCCGGGGACGCCAGGGGTGGCCCCTCCCGCTGCACTGCAGCACGAGCCACGTGGTCAGAGGGCCAGCAAGGGCCGGAATGCGAAGACCTGGAAACCCCAGTTCGGTCCCGCCCACCCTACCACGTCTCGGGGTTCTCCATGACGAAACGGGGGGACAGTTAGAGCCCTACCAACCCCACTCGTAGGAGCGCATGGGGCTCAGAAGTCACTCCGTGCTCCCCACGTGAAAGGCATCACTTGAAAGGGAGCAGGAGGTCCCCAGTTTAAAGCCGGGAGCCACAGGAGACCCAGGCTGGGGACAAGGCTCTGGCGTCCCCTTGGCGGTCAGGGGGGTCACTGTCCGACGGACCCGTAGGAGACCCGTCCCCTCCGGCCTGGCGGGAGCCCAAGTGCTTTTACTCCACACACCAGCTCGGAAACTTGGCGCAATCCTCGTAGGTGAAGAGGCCTGGAATCATCTTCCCCGTTGTAAAAATGGGGTCCAGAGAGGGCAAGCATCTTGCCCCAGGTCACAAAGCAATGGAGGGCAGTGTGATCTGGGAACAAAAACGCTAGGCCCATCCTCTGCAGGGTGGGGGTAGCCAGACAGCAGAGGACACCCTGGCCCCCACGCCATTTCCTATCCTTGTCCTTGACTCCTTCCAGAAAGCACAATGGTACGAAACAAGAAAGTGGGATTTGTGTACGGTCTACATTCTCCCTGGACACTCCACTTCGGTGAATACCACCACCCGTCTGTTTTTACCACTGCCCGTCCCCTTCTCCTACATCTAAACACGTTAAGGCTAAACTCCTTAGAGTTTCCAGAAAGGCCCTCCCATTCCTCACTAACTTTGTACGAGGTAAAAGGCCTGGAATTCTCATTCTTCCTGCGTCCACCTGGTAAACTTCTAATCATCCTTCAAAGCCCACTTCAGATCTCCCCTTCTGGGAACGTCTTGCTTGACGCTTCCTGAATCTCCTTAGAAAAGCGCTGACCATACCAGGGGGTGCCGAACGGGGTCACAAAGAGATTTAAGAACTTTCAAAGGGGTTCCCTTGAATTCGGACTCAACCGAAGGCCAAGAATCAAGTAGCAGGGCTGTTACTGACGCCTGGCATTTCCCCCCTTCCCCTCCCCCGCCCATCACCTGCAATGCTTGCATTTCACTCCGAACATCATGCTCTTCTGGCACACGTGGCAGACCTGGGACAGCCAAGACTTGGTGGAGAACCTGCAGGTGGAAAACACCGGAAAAATGCTCACGTGGCTGGGACACCGGAGCCTGGGCAGGGCCCCAGGGAAACTGGGGGGCTGGGTTCCATCCCGGAGCCGCGGGAACCCTCTCCTGGGCGGGGGCAGAGATGCCTTTCCCTTGGGCATCCAGGTTTCCCAGCCACAAAGTCATGACCGCCCAGCTCCTAAAGTCAGTGTGGTCACCGAGGCCAGCCCCCTGGTGGCAGCAACGGAAATGACAAGTATGCACATCGAGCGAGTCCAGTCTTAGTGGTTTATCCCAGGGACGCTCCCGCTGGTGTCAAATGACAAGGTTACTCCCTGCAGCAGATCTGCAGCAGTGAAAGGCTACAAACAGGGGAGCGTGGGGGGCTCGGGTGGCTGGGCGACCGATGCTCAATTTCAGCTCAGATCACAGATCATGATCTCAAGGGTCACGGGCTCGAGCCCCGTGTCGGGCTCTGCACTGACAGCGTGGAGCCCGCTTGGGATTTTCTCTCTCTCCTTCCTCTCTGGCCCTCTCCCACTTGCGTGCGCACTCTCTCTCAAAAAAATAAGAATAAATAAACTTAAAAGCAAAAGACTGTAAACAACCTATGCTGTTTTGGCATATCAGCGACAGACTGTGTCAGGGACAGCCCAGTCATATGACGGGGCACCGTGAGACCAGGAGATATGAAACCTCATTTTTGGTAAAAACATGGAATGATCTCCAAGTCATATTATCAGGGGGAAGAAGTACTACGCGACTCCATTCGTATGAAGTTCAAATACAGGAAAAAGTAACCTACAGTGACATAAATGAACAGTCACCTCTGGGTGGAATTGCTATTAACTGGAAAGGGCCACAGGCCAATTTCTGGGGGGTGGGGAGGGGTGTGGAATGCTCTGAATCTTCACCCGGCTGGTACATGTGTGCGCATAGGTGAAAATTTGTGCACCCAGTGCTATGGAAATGATGCCTTCGCTCAAAAAAAACAACTTTTTTAACCTTTATTTTTGAAAGAGACAGAGACAGAGCATGAGCGGGGAGGGGCAGAGAGAGAGGGAGACATAGAATCCAAAGGAGGCTCTAGCCTCTGAACTGTCAGCACAGAGCCCGCTGTGGGGCTCAAACTCACAAACTGCAAGATCATGACCTGAGCCGAAGTCGGACGCTTATCTGACTGAGGCACTCAGGTGTCCCCCTTTAAAAAAAAATTTTTTTTAATGTTTATTTATTTTTGAGAGAGTGAGAGAGAGAGAGAGAGAGAGGGAGAGAGAGAAAGGAAATGAACAGGGGAGGGGCAGAGAGAGAGGGAGACACAGAATCCGAAGCAGGCTCCAGGCTCTAGGCTGTCAGCACAGAGCCCAAAGCGGGGCTCAAACCCATGAACTGCAAGATCATGACCTGAGCTGAAGTCGGATGCTTAACAGACTGAGCCACCCAGGCGCCCCCACTTTTAAAAATTTTTTAATGTTTATTTATTTTTGAGAGAGAGTAAAGGAGAGCGCGCGCATGAGCAGCGGAGGGGCAGAGAGGGAGACACAGAATCTGAAGATGCCTCAATTTTTAAAAGAAAAAAAGCGGAGGGTAGAACAGTGTCAATAATATCCGTGTGAAAATAGAAAAAAGGAGGCCAAAAACCATACACTTGTACTTGCTTGTATAAAAATTATCTCAAGAAACTGCCAAGATCTGCCTACAGGGGGACTCAGAAGGCTGGGGACAGCGGGAGGGGACAGTATATATAACCCACCCTTCTCCACCTCTTGAGTTCTGAGTGTATTTCAATCCAAACCAAATCAAAACCTAAGAAACTGAAAAACCACAAAAGATAGACTGGGAAGAAGGATGGGGGTTGAGCGGATGGTGGCCTCCAAAAGCCTAGGGCAGTCTACAGGGTGGGGAGGCCTAAGGGCAGAAAGAACTCACATTTTTGGAGGAATAGGTTTTTCAAAGCGTGGTATGTTGTGGTTAACAACAGAACAAATAGCAACAGTATTTGGGGAATGGTTTGTAAGGGTCCGTAACCATGAGCTCACTCGATTCTCAGAACTACCCCTGGGGAGTTAGGCAGGCCTGAGATTCTCAGTATGCGGGCAAGGGAACCAGAGAGGTTAGGGGATTTTCTCGAGGTCACACAGCTGGGAAGCTGTGCAGCAGGGTCTGGACCCCGGGGGCCTCAACATAGAGCCTGCGGGGCTTCTCTGAGAGACCACTAGGGCACAGCACAAGAGAAAGAGCACTCGGATTGTGAGGTCAGAATGCACTTCTGTGGGGCACCTCGGGGCCTCTGCAAATATTGCCCCTGTGCTCACCTGGCAGGGACCTGGGGAGACGACGTACGTGAATGTGCAGTGCCCCCGAGCGTTACGGTCCCCACCCAGACAAGACAGGTGCTTCCAGGGACTAGAACAAAGGCACCCATGTCCCCTAAGTGCCTTTTTAAAAAAAGTTTTTATGTATTTGAGAGGGCCAGAGAGAATCCCAAGCAGGCTCTGTCCATACTGCCAGCGCAGAGCCCGACATGGGGCTCGACCTCACGAACTGTGACATGATGGCCTGAGCCAAAATCAAGAGTCAGATGCTTAATGGACTGAGCCACCAGGGCGCCGCCCCAGCCCCACCCCCACCCCCACCCCAAAGTGCCTTTGAAGGAGCCCTGATCCTGCCTCTCTGGGGTCTACATGCTCTCTCTGGCCTTTAATCTCCTCTTGTGCCAAAAGCAGGGATAGGGGAGCAGCTTGGTGGTATCTCATCCGGGGCTGAGAAGAGACACGTGCTAGGAAGGGGTGTGGGGTGTGGGGGTAAAAGCCTTCCCAGCCCAGGGAAGGACCCCGGACAGCTTTCCCCTACTAGGATTAGACCAAAACACTTTAGATCTTATTGACAGAGGCCTGGAACGTGGGTTTAAAGCCCCCCAGAAGGTGTGATGGTGATGTCACCGCATGGAGGGAGTGGGTCGGCCTGGCAATATGGACGAGGAGGGGTGAGGCTGCTGCTACCCCCACGGGAGGGCAGCCTCTGCTGCCCCAGGTGGAAGGAAGCGGCACGCCGGGAAACCCTCGGGGCCAGCCGACAGAGCCGCATCCACTGTGAAAGCAGATGCCCCCAGGACAAAAGAAAGAGCCGAGCCTGGCGTGTGCCCCAGGTCCGGGCTGACACGCGTCCCGCTCAGGCTAGGGCCTGTGCTTGCATACCAAGCGCTCCCCAGTGGCACACCCAGTGTTCAGGCGCACATCGCCCCATTTTATCCTCATCACAGGACGGGGGAAAAGTCTTGTTAGCGGAGGGGGAAACTGAGGCTCCGAGAGATTACTGGTGTGCAACCGCAGGGGCAGAATGGGGGGAGCTTCTCGTCCTGTGCCGAGTGGCTCGCTCCCATGCTGGGAAGATCACCCTGGGCGCCCTGGGTCCCGACGAGGGAGCCGCTGGGACCTTCGCTTGCAGGGCCTGTCCCAATTGTCAGCCAGGGCCTCTCTTCCACGGGACTCGAGTAGAATCCACGGGGATCAGCCCGGACGGAGCTCCAGAGGTGCCGGGGCACCATCCAGAGGGCACTGTCACTCTCTCACTGATAGCTTGACCTCTGGCAAATTACTCAAGCCACAGCCGGGTCTCCACCTCTGGGCAAGAATTCCAGGCTGGGGGCGCCTGGGTGGCTTAGTCGGTTGGGCGTCTGACTTTCGCTTAGGTTGTGATCTCACGGTTCGTGGGTTTGAGCCCCGCGTCGGGCTCTGTGCTGACTGGCAGCTCAGAGCCTGGAGCCTGTTTCAGAGTCTGTGTCTCCCTCTCTCTCTCTAACCCTCCCCTGTTCACGTTGTCTCTCTCTCTCCTAGAAATAAATTAAAAAAAAAAAAAAAAAGAAAAAGAAAAAAAAGAATTCCAGGCTGCACAGCAGCTCACACTCGGGGAGGAGGGGGATTGAAAGGCCCCATAAGCTGCAAAGCTCTCAACCAGTGTGCCCTGTGGTGCTCCCAACAGGCTTCATCAAGGGACAGCTAGAACGCAGGCATCCCAAGGCACCGCTCTGCCGGTCATCTGGGCTGAGGAGAGGCCACGCATGCGCACCTGCTGTTGGTGCCACACACCAGCCTCACAAGAGCTGAGGCCAAGCCTTCCGGCCGGTCCACACCAGGGACCTGCCTCGGCCTACGCTATAGCTCACACCAGCACCGGGGTGACCAGAAGTTATTAGAAATCCAGACGACTAAGCAGACGTTAGAGATGGGGCCCAAGGTTTGGGGTTTGAGTGCTCCGCGGACTCTGATGTGTGGGGGGTGTGGGTCCCACGTGACCCCGTCCTGGACCTGCAGGAAGCTCTCAGCTCCTCCTCCTGGAGACTTCGAGCCTGGTTCTCCCGGGACCCGTGTTCTCCCGCAGCAGGGTGAGGAAGAGACCCATGCAGGGGCAGGGGAGGACCAAGCAAGTCCGTACAGCCACTGGTGACAGGCAGGGTCTCCGGGTGGGAACAGGGCTGTGTTCACAGAGGCGAGGGACAGACCAGAGGCAAAGAGTCTCGAGAAACGGGGATCAGGACAGATCCCACCCCCGCCGCTGCAATGAGGAGCAACCCCTTCGTAAGGGCACTGGTCCGAGCCCAGCTCCGTGCCCTGTCCCCGCCCCAGCCTGGCTGGACCTACCTGTGAGTCACCGACAGCCCGATGTCCCTTCGTACCATCTGCGGGGATCCGTATGGGAGATCTGCAGGGAAAGGGGCCACAGGCTGAGGAAACCGGTGCCTTGGACCTTCTAGATCAGAGATCGCAGGCTGGGTGGGTGCGGGGACTCACTGCGTAGGAGGTAAATGTTTCCCAGAACATTCAAAGCAGGGGCAGGCCAGGTAGGCCGGGCGGTGTGGTTACCCTCCTGCCTGGCTGACTCTCTGCACGTCACTGCCCGGCACCCACACGTGGCTCAGAAACCACCGCTGTGAGTGGTGCAGTGAGAGGCAGGCTCCAGGGGCAGCAGACAGAGCAGAGGGGGGGACAGAAGTCCCCGCCTACCCCCCTCTCCCGCGCTCCCTCCCGGATGAATCCCCAGGCCACCGGCTTGCCTTGCGAGGGCTCACTTCTGGCCACTTCCTGTTTAGTGGGTAGGAGCCGTGTGGCCCTTGGCAGAGCATTTGGGACTGGTTAGCTATGTAGCACATCTGGGACCCATCCGGCCAGAAGCACCTGGAGAATTTTGCTCTGAGGGCCACCAGGGCCTGATCTGGGTGGGTGGACAAGGATGAGGGGGAGTTTCCATGCTCCCAGGTGGCCCAGTCCCGCCAGCCCAGCCGCGGGGCAAGTCTCAGGCCAACAGCTGCGAGGTGAGCGTTCAGTCTGCCTGCCTACTGGGCACCCTGGGCTCTCCCTGCCCTAATCCTGGGCTTCCCCGTCACAACGGTGTCCCTCCAGCATTGACGGAGGAGCAGCCACGGGCAGCCCACATGTCCCTCTGCCCTTCTGCCCCTCCCCCACTCCTGCTTCTGTCCCCCTCCACCTGTGCACCCCCTTCCCCACTCCTGCTTCTGCCCCCCTCCACCTGTGCACCCCTCCCCTTCCCCACCCCCTCCCACTTCTGTCCCTCCTCCACCTGTGCACCCCCTCCCCTCCCTGCTGCTGCCCTTCCTCAGTGCTGCCCATCTCCTCCTGCAGGAGGGGTTCTCAAAGAGACCATGGGCGGGCTTCAGGGACTCTGGGAATCCTCCGAACGTGGTGGGCTTTTCTCCCTAGAAAGAGGGCCTAAACTATTATCCAGTTATCAAAAGGAACCATACCCCAGAAAGGTCGGGAACACGGCGCTGGAGGGATCTCTGGCTGCCTCTTGTCCTCAGAGTCAGCCACGTCCCTGCACCCCTGTCCCCACCCGCTGGCCTGGCACACACCTGGTGCTCATTAAGTGCTGGCTCACTTAACACAAGTACCGCACACCGAGCACACAGAGCAGGGCATGCGGGGGCCCTGACTCCTCCTCCCCCACCAAAAAGGCCCTTCGCCGCTCCCTGATGATTCAGGAACCCACCAGCACACCCCCCCGTGGCTGTCTCTGGCACATCTGCCCTGGGGCTGACTTGTCCCAACTCCCTTCTGGGACCCCAGTCCTCTCCCCTGCCTTCACTGTGAGCAGCCAAGGCCGTCAAAGCTCATGGGTCTAATAGGTAGAAAGAAACAGACCACGGAAAAACGCGATTTCCACCATGTGTGTCTGAACACAGCCTATGACTGACTCGCAACGCGTTGCAGCCACAGGATAGCAGGGAGCGGGGACAGCACAGGAGCGAGGCGTCGGCCGCCCTGGACCCAGACGACATGCACCCCAAGGACCCTGTTCTGCCCCCGGTGAGCTGGGCGCGCAGTCTCCCTGCCCGGGTGCCTGCATTACTACGGCAGCCCAGCCGGGAGGAGGACAGGACGCCGTTAGGGATGCAGGGGCTGGGGTCTCCTCCGAGGCTCCGGGAAGGGCCCTGAAGTCTGTGCAGTGCCCTGGGGTAGAGGCCTCCCTCTTCCCTCACCCTATGCCTCCCCGGTGGACTCGCCAGCTTCATCTCGGCTCTGGCTCAGGAGAGGCGCCCCACGCGTGCAAGCACCGGCTCCCACCCGGGAGGTGGAGGGGCGGGGAAAGGGATCTGGGGCTGCCTGGGCTTCTCCGCTCCCCCCCCAGGGGCATTCCCGTTCACACTCCTCCCGCCCCCATCTCTCGGGGCTGCATTCGGAGCCAGGCCACACTCCTGCCGGGCTATTCCTCCCTGAAGACCCCGGACATCAGCAGACAGATGGCGTGTCCCTACCGCAGTGGCCCAGCAGACACGGCTCCCTGCCAGAGGTCACCTGTGGGGATGGCAGGGTGCTGACACACACGGCCTGCGGAGGGACCGCCCACGGCCCATGGCAATGTCAAGGTCCCTGCTTCGCAGAGAGCGGCTCCTGGCTGGGCTAAGGCCGCCTCGCGTCATCCTAAGGCCCCCTGGCCTTGAGCTACTTCCTGCGGGTGGCTCCTGGCACCTCCACTTCTGGATGGCAGAAAGGCCCCCTGGACTGACAGAGGGTGAGCAGGACACCTGACGGGGACAGCAGGACAGACACGACTCCCGGGTGGCAGAGGGGACGAAAATGAATCACTCTTACCAAACCTGCAGGAGACAAAAAAAAGAGAGAAAGTGGGATGACGTCACCATGCTGGCTCACTGTGTCCCCAGAACATCACTTCCCAGGAGGGAGCCGGCATGTGCTCAGGTGAGGACACTGAGCCCCGGAGGCACGGGCGCAGCCAGGCTGCGTGACTATGGGGACGGCTGCTCGACGGGAAGGGCCAGAAGTGCCCTCGCTGGGCCTCCCCGTGGGCACGGAAGCAATTCCCCTGCTGCCACGCTCGCGCGTTCGTCCATCGGCTCGTCTAAGCCTCCAGCCACGTGGCACTTTCCGGTGCACTCCGTGTCCACATCAGGGCTAGTTCTGGTGGCTCTGTGTGGACTCGACTCAGAGCCCCAGGGTTGACACCCAGATTACCAGCTATGGGACCTGAGTGGTGTCATCTGCCTGAGGCTCTATTGTGTGCCCAGAGCACTCCTGACGCTCCTCTCAGGGGAAACCGAGAAAAACAGATGCACTCAGTTTACCCACTGAGATGCCCTGTGGTGACCCACGTCCGTGAGTACCACATGGTACTCATACTCATACTTCTCTCTGGAGAAGAGGATCCAGAAGGGGTCCAGGAGTCCCTTCTGGGGAGCGGGCGGGGGACCAGGCCCCGCCAGGACAGGCTGACCGGGGGTGCCTGGGTGGGTCACAGCATGCATTTCCCTCCTTGGGTGACATACTCAAAACCATCAGAGATGTCCAGGGCCCATCCCATAAGCGACCCAAGACAGCCTTCACTGGGACAGAGGAAGCAAGTCCACCCAAGACCAGAAAAGGAGAGTACACGTCAGGAGAAAAGCCCGGTTGCCAGCCCTCAGAGGTACAGGAAGGTAGGAAAGTTCCACCCCTAGAGAAAGCTCCGTCCTTCCCCTCTGCCCCGCCCACCCACAAGGGTAGCCCGACAATGGCGGTTTTTGTAATACGACAACTGACAGTGACCTGAAGGTCGTCCTTTCGGACGGGAAGAGTTAAACGATACAATGGAACAATATGAAAAGTTAAAAAGATGAGGTAGTTTGAATAATTATAGGTATATACAAAGCTGACAACCTGGTTAGCTCTGAGAGGGCAGTGGGGGTGACTGAGGGAAAATGGCGCAGGTAACGTCACACCATCTACTCTACAATGACAAACTACACGAGCTACAAAGCTTCTGCATCTCGGACCATGGGATGCTTAGTACCTATTTAAGTATATAGATTAAGAAAATTTTCTACAGAAAAAGAGTCAAGTATGTTAAGATGTAGGGACAGGACGTTCTCAGAGAGAACAAGGTAAGTTAAAAAATAGGTTATAGAGGGGCGCCTGGGTGGCTTAGTCGGTTAAGCGTCCGACTTTCGCTTAGGTCATGATCTTGCGGTTCGTGGGTTCGAGCCCCGCGTCGGGCTCTGTGCTGACTGCCAGCTCAGAGCCTGGAGCCTGTTTCAGAGTCTGTGACTCCCCCTCTCTCTGACCCTCCCCTGCTCACGCTGTCTCTCTGTCTCTCTCTCTCCTAGAAATAAATTTAAAAAACATTAAAAAAAATAGGTTATAGAACAGAGTACATGGTATCCGATAATCATCAGCGATTTCAGCCGGACATTCTAGTTCTCTCCACCTGGGCATACGGGAAAATGACCTTTCTTGGTTCCTTTGTTTGAGCAGGGTCATGAATGGTGAGTGGAGCTTGTAGGAAAAGAGCATTTAATGACTAGTGTCTAATGTGTAAAATTCTTTCTTCTTCTGCCCTGGTGGAATGTTCCAGACAGTGTCCCAGAAAGTGGCTGTTCTATCAGCCTGGGACCTAAAGTAAGGCTGACCCATGACGGACAGGTAGCACAAGCAAGAAAGAAATCTTTGTTGTTTTAAGATCCACAGAGCTAGGACCTGTTTGTTAGTACAGCATAACCTGGTCGATCCTGAATGATACAAGGGGTGTGTGTGTGTGTGTGTGTGTGTGTGTCCCGGGAAACTGAGCACCAGCCTGGCAGGAGCACTCACCTCATCGGGGAGACCTCATCGATGCGGTTCCCCAGCTGAGACTCATGGGACTTGCTCCGGGTGAGCGTGGGGAAGCTGGGCAGCAGCTGGAAGACCTTGCGGCTGGGCGGGGGTGGCGTCCGCGGAGGCTTCAGCTTTGTGTGCCTCCGCAGCTGCGGCGTGGTCGGTGGGGTGATAAAGCTGTGCAGGGCGCGGGGGGTCAGCCGGCCGCTGGCGTGCAGGGGGAGGCAGGTGTCCGCAGGGCCCTCGCAGGGGCTGGGGGCCGGGGAGTCCGAGGCGGGCAGGGCTGACACAGAGACGGAGCGCAGGCCCTGGGCGCTGCTGCCCGGCCTGCCCAGCTGGGTGCTCCCTGGGGGCCAGGGCGGCCCGGCTTGCGAGAGGGTGTCTGAAGGCCCTGAGCCACTCTCCCGCCGGGCGTCCGATGTGCTCCAGCCCGAGTCGTCTTTGTGCTCTCCTCCTGTGGGTCAAGAAGTCGCGTCACAGATGACTGGAGCCAGAGGGATCTACAGGGGAGGTGGCCAGGGCCCAGAGAGGGTAACACCTAGTCCAAGGCTGCACAGTGCCTTAGCAGGGGGCTGCGGCTACCGGCCTTCATCAAGGCCTTCTTGTGCACACACGTCATCGCCGAGGTTACCTGTGACTGAGGGGCACCAGCACAGATGTCACTGTCCCCATTTTATAGAGGGGAAATGAGGCCCAGAGCGAGAAGGGCACTAGTCTGGGGTTCTTACTGGCAAGTCTGTGGGCAGCAAGCCGGACACTCAACCCAAAAATGGGTGACCTCAGAAAGGGAAGTGGTGACTGATCTTTAAGAGTCAGGAAGGAGAAGCCGGGATGTGTGAAGGGGACAACTCCATGTCAGGAACATTCGGGGCACGCGGGTGGCTCCGTCGGTTAAGCGTCCGACTTCGGCTCAGGTCATGATTTCACAGTCTGTGGGTTTGAGCCCCGCGTCTGGCTCTGTGCTGACAGCTCAGAGCCTGGAGCCTGCTTCAGATTCTGTGTCTCCCTCTCTCTCTGCCCCTCCCCCACTCATGCTCTGTCTCTCTCTCTCTCTCTCTCTCAAAAATAAAAGAATACACATTAAAAAAAATTTTTTTAAAGAAAATTCAAACATCAGGAACAGAGTATCCCAACGTTCGATAGTAATCTTCCCTGGGAATTTGCTAGGAAAGAGATCCAATTAGGACAGGGTTAATAGCCACTTCTTTCTGAGAGGTGGTCTTTTAGTTGAATCCGGAGACCCTGGGGCTCTGTGCAATTCCAGCTCAGAGGCACAGTCTGTCTGTTCGTTCAAGCACATGCTGGACGCTGGGCATCAAGGCATGAAAAAGACATCCACAGTGCTTGAAGAGTCCAAAGAGGGAGAGAGCAGTGTGCTGAGACAGAGATGTCTGGGCACTGAGGAGCTATGAGGAGGACCCTAAACAGCCCGGAGGGCTTCCTGGAGGAGGTGGCACCTGGGCTGAGGCAGCTAGAGAAGACGGTGAAGCAGGTGTACCGGGCAGAGGGAACGGCGCATGCAAAGGCAGGAAACACACAGCCCCTTCTACAGAGTTTCCTGTGCCTTGAGAGCTGAGGACAAGCAGGGAGAGGCAGAAATGAAGTCGGAGGGTCAGCCCCAGCTCAGGAGGGGTCTTGGAGGTCTTGTTAAGGACTTGAGGTTTGCGCTTACAGGGGATGAAGAGACTCCGAAGGGTCGGGGGCAGGGCTCTGTAGGAGCCCATCTACAGAGACCCTGCTGTGGGGAAAGGAAAAGACCCCTCCCTCGTCTCACCAGTGAGTGGAAAGTTCGGGAAGGTAGATTTTGACTCAAGGCAAAATGAACTTCCGCACTGGAGGTATCCTACTCTGTGCTTTGTACCCCGACTCCCGCAGCCTCCCCAGCGCACGAGGCCACGGGGATCCAGAGAGGCCACACACGCGGCCGAGGTCAGGCAGCCACGACCAACACTGTAATGTATACAGCGGCCTACAGGAGGCGCTGGCGTGTCTGTCACCGATGGGCCGAAAGAAGGGCCAAGGCTGCCGCCCAGGGAAACAAGCCGGACATAGGGCTTGATCCCGTGACCCTGGGATCATGGCCTGAGCCAAAATCAAGAGTTGGACGCTCAACTGACTGAGCCGTCCAGGCGGCCCTAACTTGCTCATTTTTAATCACCACTGCTTTGAGCCAGCTCAGGGCTGGCCACTGGGTCTCAATAGCATCCCAACACCAGTAAACCTGCAGTGGCTCTTGAAAAGGACCTCCGAGTCACTCAGTAGGGAGAACCCGGGTGTGACTAGTGGCATGCGCTTCCAATGAAGGGCAGGCAGCACTGGCAGGAACGATCTCCCCAGCTCACTGGCCGCGGGCACAGAGAACCATCCTTCACCCAACTTTCTTGGGTGAAAGAAAGTCTCAATGACCACAAGGCAAGTGGCTTCAATGTTTTCTCGGACTCCTCTGGCCTAATACCGAAAAGGACACTAGTATATCCCAGGCTCTGGTCTAAGTGCTTGACCTTAACTCAGTTCCTCATCACGACACTATGAGCGAATGTTATTACCTCCACTGTACAGATGAGGAAACTGAGGTCCAGTGGGGTTCATTAAGAAACAGACTAAGGTCCCCCGGATTATAAGAGTGCTGGGCTCAGTCAGCTGGGCACCATCATGATGTTCTAGGTGTCACCAAGACTCTGACCACAGGTGCCCTTCAGGTACGGACACCACTGGGGGCAGACCCACTGGGCGGGGTGTGGCCAGGACCCTCTTGGGGACGTCGGAGTACCGCACGCTGAGACCAGATGAGAAGGACACGGAAGGGACCCTCTCCTCCCCAAAGGCCTCCTCGGGGACATGGTTGAAAAAGCACCCTCTGAATTAGAAACCTGAGTTCAAAGCCCAGCCCAGGTGCGTGCCAGCTGTGGGACCGTGGACAATTCACTCAATGCTTCCGACGGTCTAGCTACGATAGACACGTAGCGGCACCACGGAGAATGGTGCAGTGCCAAGTACGTGCCACGTGCCTGGCTTAATAAATTCATGCTTAATGAGTTAGTGGTCTCCCTATCTTGGCACCCAGGACGGGCAGGCAGGAACCTTCCTAATATAAATGGGTCACAACCCCTCTGGACAGGGGCGCCTCCATAATTCTTTACAATTCAGGGACAAGGACGGAAGGTGGACGAGTCCCCCCGTGGTCCCAGCTTGGGAGGCAAGTTGTAAATTTCCACAATGTGGAAACAGCCCTGCACGCCGACTGCTGCGTGTCCTTGGCTCAGCCCTTGCCCTCTCTGGGCTCAGTGCCCTCTGTGAACTCTGGGACATGAAGACAGACTACATCTCTCTTTCATGGTTATTCTTTGGCACCTGCTGTGAGGCCCGGCCGTGAAGGTCTTCTGAACTGAGTGGGGCTCCCCAGCTAGGCTCTGTGGCAGAGGAGGACTTGGGATAAGGGGCCAAGACGAAATCAAGCCCAGTCCCCCTAGGTGGGGAAGCGGGGGGGGGGGATCAGGCCGACTATGAACCTCGGTACCTTCCTTGAGCCTCAGGCAGCCAGAAATAAGACAGGTGGCTCAGATAATTAAAAACGGGGCTAAGTCCATTCATTAGGCTCCCTTTGAAGCCTCGTTCGTGTCGGTGACATAGTGGGAATGTTAAGTCACAGCATTTGAGGCTGTTTCCAAGGCAAGATTAGAAAGCCTGCAAATAATTCTCAAGGAACTCCTTGTAACACTGGGATTACACACTTTGTACACACTCCCAGATGAAACGCCATGCAAGTTCTCTCAGCATGCTTGTGCCTTCGGGGCAGAGAGCCCAGCAGCCAATGGGGACAGGACAGGGTAGGGGGCAGGCTGGGGGTGAGGGCGCCGAGGGGGCTGGAGCCCAGGGGGCCACTGGAGGGCTCAGAGCCCAACAGACATGCACAAAAGAGGAGAAGGCACACGGGGCCCACCCAGGGGACCAGAGTGGGGTCCCTAACGATGTGCAAAGGCCTCCCTGGGTTCATACTAGCCTGACCCGTAGGGACGCACACCCTCTATCTCAGTCAGGCCAATAGCACGCTCTCTGGCCTTTCCAAGCTGCCTGAAAACTCTGGGCCATGCTTGCCCCACCCCCATCCCTGGCCTCCACAAAGGCAGTGGCCCCGGGGAGCCAGGACAGGCCCAGGGAGGGAAGGCCGGCGCTCCAGCCCAGGCGGAGGAACAGGGAGCCGACGGGGCCGGCCGCAGCTGGCAAGGCCAGTCCTACCTACCCAGACCGGTCACTTTCCGCAGGCAGGCGAGGGCGTACTGCAGGCGGCCACACTCCTCGGCGTTGGCCCCGCAGCGCCGCAGCGTCTCCTTCACCTTGACCTCGTTCATGTCCAGCAGGGCATCCAGCGTGAGCTCGCTGAGGATCTCCTGAGGAAGCACAGAAAAGACCGGCAGAGAGCCGGTGAGCAGTCAGGCCGGCCCTGGCGCCCTCCTCACCCTCCCCGTGGCCAGGGCTGGGCTCCCCTGCTGAGTGGCAGGGGACAGGTGCTGGCGGGTCAGCCTCCCAGAAGCCTCCGCTGGTCAGAGGACACAGGCGGCCCTCTCTCACCCCCACCCTCAGGGCTCCCAGAGACAGCAGCTGAGGTAGACGTGCCAAAGCTTCAGGGCCAGGGTCGAGGGAGGAAGGAAAACCCCCCCAGAAAAGCTACGACCGGGGCATGGTGCCCGCCCGTTTCTTCGGATTCCCTTGCACAGAAAAATGATGAATCATGACAACTTCGTAGAATGATAAGAACTTCAGATAACGACGAAGGCCCTTTACAATTTTGCTGTATCTGAATCAGAAAAGACAGGTTTCAAATGAAATCAGCTTACCAAGAGAAGGATGGAAAAGAAGTTAACCCTCGCCGGGCACAGTGTAGGCGTTTACTGCCCTCGCCTCATTTCTCAGTCAAAAACTTTCCAGGGTTCAAGGTGACGGAGAAGGAAGGGGCGGGCTCAGGTGCGAAAAGGGCTCCATGACTTGGATGATGGACGGCCAGGAGAGAAGGGACGCAGGAGGCCTCTGGGACAGAGAGTAGCTCCGGGCTGACCAGCAAGGAAAAGGGAGCCTCAGACCTACAGCCGTAAGGAAGTGGCTTCTGCCAGCAAGCTGAATGCACGTGCACGTGGCTTCTTACTAAAGCTTCTAGGTAAGAGGCCAGCCTTGCTGACACGTACACTTTTTCCAGCCCGGTGACCCCCTGCAGGGAAGCTAGCTGAGCCCACCAAACGTGGCCATACAGTCTCCGTCCTACACAACGGTGAGCTAATCAATGGGGGTTGCTTGTGATTAATCGCTATGCGGCCACAGAAAACCAATACAGAGAGTGACTATTTGAATCAAGGCCCGACTTCAAAGTTTGTGCCCTTTCATCGGGGAGGAAGGAAACCCCTCCAGCAGTGATTGCTTTGAGCCATATGTGATACCAAGCCGGGAGCAGACACACCGAAGGCTGGGACAGACCTCTGGCCTCAAGTGGCTCGCAGGTGACTCACACAAAAACAAGTCATTGCAATGGCCTAGCACAGAGAAAACTCAAAGAGCTACCGGACGGGGTGAGGGGAGGGGAGGTCAGTGGTTGTGTTTTCTTCTCCTTCTTCTTCTTCGGCCCCTTTCTATATTTTCCAGATTTTCTACATCAGAGAAGGCCAGACACCCCACATCAAATAATTCATAGAAAACCTGCAGTTCTTGAGAATCTAATATGATTATCATTGATCTTGGCAAGTTGTATAATTTTCTTTTAAAAGAATAATGGTTGGGGCGCCTGGGTGGCTCAGTCGATTAAGCGTCCAACTTCGGCTCAGGTCATGATCTCACAGTTCGCGGGTTCGAGCCCTGCATCTGGTTCTGTGCTGACAGCTCAGAGCCTGGAGGCTGCTTCAGATTCTGTGTCTCCCTCTCTCTCTGTCCCTCCCCCCTCATGCTCTGTCTCTGTCTCTCAAAAAGAGACATTAAAAAAAATTTTTTTTAAGAGTAATGATTACTGGGGCACCTGGGTGGCTCAGTGGGTTAAGCTTCCAACTTTTGATTTCGGCTCAGGTCTCATGGCTTACGAACTGTGAGATTGAGCCCCGGGTCAGGCTTTGTACTGACAGTGTGGAGCCTGCTTGGGATTCTCTCTCTCTCTCTCTCTCTCTCTCTCTCTCAAAATAAATAAACTTAAAAAACAACAACAACGAAAGAGTAAGGCTATTGTCAATTCATGCCGCTGTAAATCTTAGACTCAGATGTCGAAACTGAACCAGATAAAGATACGGGCTGTGAGTCATTAAAGCGATGGTTTGGGAGCTTTGTAATGCCGGTGGGGCGGGGGGGTTGCCCACAGCTGATGCCTGGGGTCTGGCCATATCCCCTCCCCCACCTTTGTGTCTTGTCTGTATATCCTTCAATCTCCACGGCTGTGGACAAGACTCTGATTGACAGCTGTTTAGAATGATTCACTTCAAAATTTAGAAAAACAGACACACACAAAAAAGCACCAAAAGGCTCATCATTGGCTGGGCAAACCCTTGGTGGTCAGGAATCCTTCCAGAGGACAAAACTAGAGCCTCACAGGAAACTGCCGATAAGAACAGCACAGACAGGAGGCTGGGGAGATAAAGGCCCCTGGGGGGGCGGGGAGCAGCTATGGTCCGATCAATGTGTCTCCCTCTTCTGGCCTCAGGGACACTCAACAAAATGCAGTTCGGACAACTTTTCCCCTCATTTCACCCCGAAAAGCAATTTGGCAATACGGTCCCGAACGAAGGGAAGTGACGCTGACATTTACACGACTGCGCAAAACGCCGCAAGGCCTTTCCCTGGAGTGTCCTTGGCTCTCACCAAACGTGCCTCTTCCCAAGGCCATGATGACTCAGCAGGTCTCCACAAGTGGGATTCCTAAACAGGCCTAGAAACCCAATCCCAAGTCTAACTGTACTGCGAATGACGATTTTCTTCATCCCTTTCTGCCTGTCTTTCTACGCCTCTCCTCTCCACCCGCACCAAGTTCCCAGCTCTCAGACATGGTAAGCACAGGTATTACTACCGACCATCTACCAGTAAGGCACCACCAGCGCTCTGTACAGGATCTGGAGTCTGAACAAATCAGCACGCGCATGCTGTCAAGCGTACCTGTACTGAGCCTCAGAGACCGAGGACTGGCCGACTAGAAGGAGCCCTAGATGGTTCTTCCCTGCTTTCACTCCTAGACCTGGCATGGCCTTGGGAGGCAGCGACTACCTTGGCAGCGAGGGTGGGGGGAGGAGTGGTAATAATTTTTCTCGAAGTAAATTAAAGGAATTAATTTCTACCTGGTTTCGGAAAAAACCAACCAACCACTCGGTGAAATGGAAATTCTCTGTTCTTTTTTTTTTTTAATTTTTTAATGTTTTATTTATATCTAGGAGAGAGAGAGAGAGACAGCGTGAGCAGGTGAGGGTCAGAGAGAGAGGGAGTCACAGACTGAAACAGGCTCCAGGCTCCTAGCTGGCAGTCAGCACAGAGCCCGACGCGGGGCTCGAACCCACGAACCGCGAGATCATGACCTAAGCGAAAGTTGGAAGCTTAACCGACTAAGCCACCCAGGCGCCCCGGAAATTCTCTGTTCTTTATCAAGTGAAGCAACCCCCTAGAAAAAGATAAAGAATATGTTCAAATCCATTCCCTTAACAAAAAAGAAAAAGTGATGGTTGGGGCCCTGGGACAGATGAGTGTGTCCAAGGTCGCACTTAAATTGGAGCTGCCCCAGGGCAGCTCAGTCAGTTAGTTGAGTGTCTGACTTCGGCTCAGGTCATGATCTTGAGGTTGGGGTTGGTGAGTTCGAGTCCCGTGTTGGGCTCTGTGCTGACAGCTGGGAGCCTGGAGCATTCTGTGTCTCCCTCTCTCTCTCTGCCCCTCCCCCGATCGCACTCAGTCTTTCTCTCACTCTCAAAAACTAAACATAAAAAAATTTTTTTAAATTAAGAACGTAAATTGGAGCTGCCCCTCCCTCTCCCAGTGATGAGGGAACATGAGACAGGCTGAGGGCAAAGCACAAGCTAGCACGCACGCACGCACACACACACACACACACACACACCCTGCCCCCCCAAGGTGGGACATATGTGATAGTCCCCAGGCACTCCTGGCTGCCCAAAGGCAAAGGGAAGGAAAGGCAACAAATGGCTAACTGATAGAGATCACAGTCACGCAGGAATGAGTCTCCATCAGTTTGCAAATATCTTAGTAAATTACAAGAAAAAGGCAATCTTATCAATAGCCTCATCTCCAGAAGTCTGTAGGCTCAGTTTCCCAGAGCCCCAACATCACCCCTCCATGGCAGTGAAGTGGGGAACAAAGGCAAGAAGGAAATGGCAGGGAAAATTAAATCTGCCCATAACCTGCAGCCCACTGACAAACGCTTGAGGCAAATACAGCTCCACCATTTTTCCAGGAGCCTCCTACCATCCTGTTAATGCCTTACTAGAAGGGAAACAACCTTAGCCGGACAATAGCGAGGCGTCCCGTATCTTAGGAGTCATCTCTGGCATAGGAAGGTCCCTCCGGAAATCTCCCTTTTGCTACCTCCCCCAACTTCACAGTAAAAGGAGCCACTCTTCACCCCCCCACCCCCCGGCCTCAGATCTTCCTCCCCTCGGGTCCTGTCCCTGAGCTTTGATAAAATCACCTTTTTGCACCAAAGAGGTCTTCAAAAATTCTTTCTTGGCCACTGGCTCTGCATCCCACAAACCCCCCAGCACCCCAAAACTTCATCACCAGGTCAAGCATGGCTTTCCGGGGGTGTGAACTGTGCACATCCTTCCGTGAAATGAGAATGCCAGTATACCACTGGCGTCACCATTTCTGAGTGCTCCTTCCATTCCCCTTAATGATGAGGGAGCGTGGGGCAAGCTGAGGGCAGAATACAGGCTGGCACGCGCGCGCACGCACGCCCGTGCACCCACACACACGCACACCAGGTGGAATGTTCCTTGGATACTGCTGGCTACCCAAGAACAAAGGAAAGGAGTTAAGTGCTTGCCATGGTGAAGTGGGAAACTAAGGCAAATGAAAACTAAATTCCCTTACTGCCTACAGCTCACTGACAAGTCCTTGAAGCCAGCAGAGTGACCTCCGTCTAGAAGCTCAGCTGCCTCGATGATAACACTTTGCTGGGGGCAAAAGAGAACCTTAGCTTAACATGGTCCCAACCTCAAGGATCCTGTAAGTCTTCTTCCTTTATCTCAACTGCCCCAAGGTCTATGCTGGCAGGCATGCTCCCAGCTTATACCCCTACCCGACCCCCATATGCATCTGAAGGGTCTTATTAATCGGTGATAAATAGTGTTTCCCTAGTAACAGCTGGCCCCTCAAGGTCCCAGAAACCTTGCTTCCAAAATTCCTTAGAGACTTACTCTATCCC